CGTGATCTGATTTATACGTAGTGGGTACCTGTATTTTATTTTGATATTTACATTTTAATAGATGGACCAGAGAATATCAGATTTACACCAACTGGTTCTAGTATAACAGTGATAGAAAATGAAAATAGATCGGTAACCTGTTCAGCTGACTGTAATCCACCACCGTGTAATAAAATAAATAGAACATTTGTCTAAGCAAGAAAACGTTTATATTTTCACCCATGCTACGCATTCGTGAAAATATAAGTTTTCTTGCTTCTCGATGAAATAAAATATGTTATTCACTCTAAAACGACAAATATCCTCTATATCTTCATCGACATATGACGGACTGGATGCACGGAGTAAGGAAGAACATCCAGACATTTATCAACAACTCAGTACGTGAACAACACCATATGAAGGTCTGGATGTACAAAGCAAAGACAAGCACCAACACACTTATCAGCAACTTAACATCTATGAAACCCAGAAGCTGTGATTAGCTAGCATTTGCTTTGTTACAAAAGTTAACATTACTGACTCCGAAACAAAAGAGTCCTAACGGAAGCACGGGTTTATTATCCCCCTTGCTATTTAATCGATTTCTACTTGTAACTAGCTTTATATATACTCCGATTTCCTCCCACTTCTAAAGACCCCTACGCGCATCCGAATTATTGAAATAAAATTAAACCATATGTTAGTCCCGAAATGACCTAGTTTGTGGCGAGTGGACGTCAAACCCCATTTCTCTCTCTCTTTATATATATATATATATATATATACGTTCGTTTATTTGTTACGTGTATATTTGTTGTACTGTACACACCTCTGGTGAAGTCGCATCGGGTTAAAAAAAAAGTTCACGGCATATTGTTTGCATTTTCATTGAACACATACATATGGCTGTTCAGAAGTGAAAAAATGAAAATCTTCTATAGACTAAATTCGAAAATATACCAAATACAAGAAAAAATACCTAAAGTTTACTTCTTCTGCGATATTCTGACATTCATTCTCGAAATTACTTGACAATTGAAGCAATATAGTAAAATGCATATATACCATTTATCGCTGACGAGACATTATGTGAAAATTGGATATCCCCGCCAAGTTCTGACGTCATTAGGAGTCCGGAAAATAAGATTGGCACCTTGTGAGTATACACACACGTTACATGCGCTGGGAACAATATGAAATCACACATTCCAATAGTTTCTTTTCCTAATCCTTATGAATCAGGTTTCTTTTGTAACCCCTTCCAACCCATAAGGCTTTGAAATCTGAATGTACCGATTCAGATGTATGTTCAGACCACCTGCCAAGTCCCTTCCCAGGCCTTGCTGATTGGCGGGCCAAATACTGGGGAATGTGGTCTATCACTGTGTGACAATTGCTTGTTTTTGGAATGCCCAGTGCATCATACGCCGCCTCAAACCCAGCAATCGACTCTTTGCAGGAACCGTCTAAATCTCTGCCATCTAGCTGTTAAGACTGTTTTTTTAACTACTTGGAACAGGTACGTCGCTATTTAGATGATAATTTAACAACAGGAAACAGGTAATCCGCTATCTAGATGTTAAAACTATTTTACTACTCTACAACATGAACAGATGCTCCGTTCTCTGTCGTTTATTATGAATGTGAAGGATGAACCTACCGAAGCGGATACGCTATGAAGCTAAGTTCTTTTAATTTCGGTTTCATATTTCTGCCATTTCGATATAATGGTGAATTTACAATCTATTCAGCTTCTTCATGTTTTTTAAATATTCCTTCAAACCTTTCATACCTGTAGAACTAATCTAAATAAAAGTGTATTGGACGCTTTTAAATTTCTTTTCTTTGTATATCATTTAATTTAATTATCAATGGTTATGTAGCGTCCATTGATAATATGTGTGCCATGTCCATGTGGAAATCTGTTGAACGCTTCCATTGGTACTTGAAGTGACGTTCTTTCAAGGGTACCGTGGCACCGGTGAAACCGGTCATCACTGCATTGTAGTTCTAATCTTAAATTTGATTTTGGTTTTGAAAGATTAAAATTTTTTTTTTTTGCTATTATCTGAAGTTTTAAACTGTGGTTACTTCCCTTTGTTGTCGTGGGCAATCATAAGCCCGACTAATTATTATTTTGGAAGTTTGCGGTATACAGAGCAGGTTATTTACAAATAAATGTTTGGCCTTCATAGTCACCACTATTATTTTATATCAGTTCTTTTATTGGTTACCAAATAGGATACAGGATGACTTGAACCTTACAAATGTCACCAAATAGGATACAGGGTGAAAGATATGAACATAAAATATGATAGCACACAATGTCAATGAGAAACTGCTTACTGTCTGATTCATCGTAAATTTTAAACGGATTTCTTCGATTATGAACAAACTACTTAACTTTGGTTATTATAAACTTACCTGTGTGTTTGTAATGAACTCCCGTTCGATAAAATCCATTGCACAACTAATTATCACAACGATGAGAACAATTTCTCTCTTGAAAAATTTGAAAATTTACTTGTAATTTCGACAGAGTCGATGTCAACAATGTCTTCGTGACGTATTGGTCGAATCCAATATACCTGTTGCGGGGGTTGGTTAACATTGAAAGATAGTTTGACAGCGCGATCATTTTGATCGTATATGGGTTTGGGCGACGAAAAATATCAATTGAAGGCAATTACATAGGAGATTTATATGGAAACCATTGATCGCCAGTCTATCAAATTTTCTTCACAATTAAAATATCACTGATTGCACGGATACTCGTAAAAATAAAGTCATGAATAAACTATAAATATCCTATCTTCTTTATGTTATAAATAATTTAACAAGGATCATGAAGCTTACCTCCGAATTCTCTGAGTGTATTTTTAATTTTATACGCATTCTTTCGATCGAATAATAACCGCTTCAGTAACATCTTTAAGCGTGTTGCGGCAGCCCTCAGCGTGTCTATTGCCGTATTGGGTGCCCGGGTGGGTATATAATGCTACTAAGCCCGTATGACCCCGTAAGAAGCGGAAAATTAATTCTCGATTCGACATTTTTGACCGAAGTGTGATAAAGCCCGTAAAACGAATGTATAGTTGTGTTTGTGCGGCATGCGTGTTCAAAAGTAAATAATCCCATCTGAGTCGCTAATCAAATAATTAGAACAAAATATTTCAAAAAGTAAAGCTATAAAATTTGCAGAGATTTTACTAGAATGTAAAAGACGGCAACTAAATACAGGAATGCGGGTAGTTATGTGTGCGAACGCTCAAACTCAATGCCAATTGTCGTAGGTATCCAGACCACTCGGACCAAAGACTGCTCGGACTAAGACCAGTCGGACCAAAACAAGACCAGTCGGACCAATTAAATTATATTATAAGGCTAGACAATATGCTATTTATTTATTATTAGATCACAATACAAAGAAGCAAATAATTCTTATAAGGAATTCTTATATTTAGAGTTGTTTGGTTCAATTTTGTGTACGGAAAATAAATCAACGATTAGTTTTAAAATTAATTAATAATGGTGCCAAAAAAAAATATCAATCTAATTTTTCTTTACTCTTGCAATGAGACTCGGTATGTCCAGACTTTTGACAGTTTCTACATATACGGGTATACTGTTCTTGTCTGATAGCCTAATTTTACTTTTTCCACATTCGCGGTATCCCCAGTGGTTTCATTCCGTTCTACCCCACTAACCCCTGGGTTACTATATATGGGGTGGGGGGGGGTGGAGACACGTTTTCAAGTTATCCGCCCTTGATGCGTTAATATAAACAGCACATAATAATACGAAGACCGGACGTTTATATGCCCCTTTTTAAACGTGACTACAAGTGTGGTTCTCGATATTTTGCGATTTGGAATACAATTATCAATTTATTCAAACAACACGTTATTATTAGTTCGAGTAGTCATATTAAAACACACACAATTATCAATTTATTCAAATAACACTTTATTATTGGTTCGAGTAGTCATATTAAAATAAACACAATTATCAATTTATTAAAATAACACTTTATTATTGGTTCGAGTAATTATATTAAAACAAACGCAATTATCAATTTATTAAAACAACATTTTATTATTGGTCCGAGTCGTCTTTCTGTTGGGTCCGAATAGTCTTTTTGTATGGTCCGAGTAGTCTATTTGTTTGGGCTGAGTGGTCTATCACTTGGTCCGACTGGTCTTGAACCGAGTGATCTTTGGTCCGAGTGGTCATGGATTCTTGTCGTAATTGTACTTGAATTTCCTATGCTGTCACCCCTAATACGAAATGATATCTTCCGCAGAGTGACGTAACCATCTTCCATATTGGTATTTTTCTCTGGGAAAAGTTTGTGATATTTCAATTTTTCAAGAGAGAACTTGTTTTCATCGTTGTGATAATTAGTTGTGCAATGGATTTTATCGAACGGGAGTTCATTACAAACACACAGGTAAGTTTATAATAACCAACGTTAAGTAGTTTGTTCATAATCGAAGAAATCCGTTTAAAATTTACGATGAATCAGACAGTAACAATTTTCGCCCATGTAACTATTTTGATAAATTAGTGGTCCGATTGCCTTCATATTCCTGAAGCTATCGCTCCATGAACCCCTCTCTAGCCATTGCTGGATTGACTTTTGAGGGAACGTGTCCATTCTTTGTATTCAATCAAATCTCAACATGTCAGCAACTTGACAGCCTTTCTCCTTGATCCGGTGTCTTCTCTAAAACTTCGGACAGTGATTTAATGTATTAAAAACGGTGAAAATATCGTTCGTCTCAAAACAGTATTGTTTTACCTTTTAGCATCGTTTGTCACACAATTAGGTTTTTAGGTTTTATGCAATATTCTGTGATGCACTGGTAAGTTGGACGTAATAAATTTCGCGAGTCATGATGTAACGTGATGTAAACGTTTTTGGAGCTCTGTTTAAACCCGGTTGATATTGTTACCTAGTTATGTATTGATTGTTAATCGATCTATTTTCCAGTCATATAATTTGCAATAGAAATTAGCTTTTATTACGACAGTGTTTAGAGAGATTAAGTCTAATGAAACGAAACACTGCGGGGAATATGGATTCCATTTGGGTTCAAGAATTAACAGTAGTGCCTGGTATGTACCTATTGATTAGTTCACATTATATATTTTATGCGTCGATTTTCTTGCATAGTGAGCCACATACCCTATAATTTATGTGTATACGTACTGTGCAAACCAATCTTGGTCGATCCATATTCTTAACATGCATCCATTAGTAGTTGATTTAAGTTCAATGCGAGACTTTAAATATAAGGCAAAATAGCGCGGATTTCCCAGCACATGGTTTTGGAGTTGGGGCATGATAGCCGAAAGGTTGAATCCAGTTCATTTGCCTTTAATTAAGTTCAACCCGAGCCTTTAAATATAAGGTGAAATATCAAGGATTTCTGTGAACATGGTTTTGGAGTTTATTTCCTTGTACTCTGATAGAGATGTTACGTGTGAAATTGGTTTAAAACTGTCTGTAAATCATCAGGATATCTATTGGTATAAGATGTTATCAATATAAACATTATCAGTCAGTAAAATAATATGAAACTTAGATGAATTTAGCAGTGTTCTAAATCTAGACACAATATATCAGAATTAGGAAAAGACAAAGTCCAGTATGCCATGCCTGTCTTACTGTCATGTCATCTTCACAGACAAGGAGAGGATTTTACACGAAACCAATTTTAAAGAGTATATGATCTCTTTTTAATGTAACTCATTTCACTCATATTCTTACTCCTAACTCACGCCTCTTTTCCACGCCTCCTTTTCACCCCTCCTTCTCACACCTCCTTCTCACGCCTCCTTTCTCACGCCTCCTTTCTCACACCTCCTTCTCACGCATCCTTCAGACGCCTCCTTCTCACGACCCCTTCTCACGACCCCTTCTCACCCCCCTCCTTCTCACGCCTCCTTTTCACACCTCCTTCTCACGCCTCCTTCTCACACCTCCTTTATCACGCCTCCTTCTCACACCTCGTGCTCTCACACTTCCTACAGCGTAAAATTAAAATAAATCCCACCTCTGCAGCTATTGTCGTTTCCATGTTTAATCAAGTGATTCACGTGAAACGTGATACGGAGAATTCGTCAAGAGTGGCTACTCAATCGGGCGAATGAATTAAGCTGGAATCCGGCAGCAATTGATTCGGCAGAAATTCGCCTAGTATGTGTCCCGCGTTAGATAGTATCGTGATCGTATATAGTGGGATGACCCACCATAACATACAATATTACTTTTTATATCTCAGATAGAAAATTTTGTGTTGTCGGCGCTGTTTCTACATATCTTTTTCATATTCCACAGACCCACAACGGCTAACATTGACACAGTTGGACGTTAAGCCCCATTTCATTTCATTCAACATTGACACTGATTGTGACTCAATTCATGTAGGGTATGGCATTCAGGATATTCCTATAGATAAAGTTACCCAGGATTTTCCGGCCTCGTTTCCCCCTGTCGGTGATTCAGGACAGTTAGCCTGGTAAGGGACAGCGTGTAGTCATTCGGGTGGGATGAAAAACTGATTCCCGTGTACATTTTAGTGCGTGCACGTAAAAGAACCCTTGACATGTGGACATGAAAACATTTGCTCTAGCGTCGCTATCCGGATACCATTTCTCTCATAGCACACTGCTTGACCATCTTCATACAGACAATAGGAAGACAAACCCTATTTCACAATCACCTCTACTACTACTAACGTCCCCTCTCTTCCTCGTGTAGATATATATACTATATCTACCAGATATACCCAACCGTATAAATCTATTGGTCTATATAATAACACTAGACCAGTAGACTCATGTATTATAATAGTATAGTTATATCACTGACTGTACAATAACTACTCAATTATATAAACCTTATACAACAGTTAAATACAAACCTTCCTGATCTATATATATAACAGTAGGTTCATGTATTATAATATTATAGTTATGGTACTGAGACTATATTGTATATACTTACACAATATATATATTGTATATACTTACACTATTCATATAAACCTTACAACAATAATATAAACCTTATATAACAGTTAAACACCCATTACAATTTTTCTGGTCTCTATCTGTTACAGGTAAAATGTCGACCATGGATAGATACATGTATAATTATATTATAGTTATGTTACTGGCTGTACATATTATATATATGCAAGGTAACTGTTTTTATCTCTATTTTATTTTAACGTTAGCAATATACTATTATAGACATCGATGAATCTCTGTTTGGCATGTACTCGGTTATATCATAACATCCCTGATTCCCTGAACTTAATTCATGCCCCCTCCTCCAACTTCCGGGTAGGTGTAAGGTGCGATTTCGGTGACTCGGTGACAAGACAACACGAATGAGGCTGTATAGGACTGGTTTCAAGTTGCTGTACTCGCGGACTGGAATAGTATGAAAACAAGTTTGCGACAGTCTATATTTCAAAATAATGACCGTGACAGCTGACAGCAAACTGGATTTTGTGGAGCATTTCATTTCTATTGATCAACCACTACGACCAGTGGTCAGAATCCTGATCACACAGGACTCGTACGTCTATGTCGATCAATGTACGATGACGTGTTTAATCTAATAAGGACAATAATCAAACAAATAATATAAATGGCCTAAGTTAACTTTTGTTGCAGAAATTACATGTTTAAATTAACTGATGAAACTGGTAATGGTGAATAACCACTACGACCAGTGATGATGCATGTTTCGTTGTCTTTTGACATTTAACATAGGCACGGATTGACGAGGACGGAACCCTGTCTCAAATAAATGAAGCATGTACCCCCTCCTTTCTATGTTTACAGGACAAACATACAGTTTATCAGGATCAGCATCATATGGTATTAGAAGAGAAGATTATAGATTTACATGTCTCTTACTTCTGTTACAGGTCAAACATACAGTTTATCAGGATCAGCATCATATGGTATTAGAGGAGATGATTATAGATTTACATGTCCCTTACTTCTGTTACAGGTCAAACATACAGTTTATCAGGATCAGCACCATATGTTATTAGAGGAGGGGATTATAGATTTACATGTCTCTTACTTCTGTTACAGGTCAAACATACAGTTTATCAGGATCAGCACCATATGGTATTAAAGGTGAAGATTATAGATTTACATGTCAAATATCTGGTGGTGATTTACGTTCATCTGTACAGTTTAAGAAGGGTAGTGACTTAGCCTGTACAATTTCTGGTTGTCAACCATCATCACCTAATACCAGATATACATGTGGTTGTATCAATGGTAACAACAGAACACTGTATCTTAATATAACTAATGTTACATCAACTGATACTGGTAACTGGACCTGTGGAGATATCTTTTACATCAGTCCTCCTGTAACTCTAGGATTCTATAGTAAGTTAATATATTATATTCTATAAACACAAAACACATATAATTATTTTCAGCTTCACTATTTGTGAGCCCCAGAAAAACTAGACTAAGTCAGCATCATTCAGAAAGCAAACTTGAGAAAAAGTCGATTAATTCCAAGATGTCATCCGTGAAAATACAAATAAATGTCTATATCGGATTTCAGTTTTTCACAGTTATTACACGATATATTATGAATTTTTTGTTTTTGAAACCTCTCATCTCGCGGAATTAGACTAAATATGGGTAGTGTAAAGTCAGTTACTGCTGCAATGGCGCAGGCAAAGAGAGGCCACATGAAGCTTGCCTTCCTCGTCCAAAGTTTGTAAGAAAATGGCATGATTGAGCTTCCGTCAGCAATACCAGATATATCAACAACGTACGTACGTTCAGCCAATGCTCGACAGTAAATACCACCACTGTAAAAATTAGGTGGATTTTGTTCAACATGGAAGGTGCGGAAGGTTTGGGATGCTAGTGATGAATGGCTGGGTAAGGAGACCCCAGAAACCCAATTCTTAAATTTCGCCAGTGGCTGAAGGAGTCACCCATAGTACCCCTCAAAATTGGTTTATTCAACATATATACTGTTCTAAAAGGATTTACCAGGCTCCGGGATCAATTCAGTTAATCGTACGTCTCTTGCTTTACTAGCAATGTCTGTGCATTTATGATGTATCTATAGGGATTGTATCTGCATGGGCTTGTCATATGGGTGTTTCTTAGTGTGGTGCCATCCTCATACTAAAGTGTCAATTGCGAATCACCTGCCTTCCACTAAGAGTCAGATTAAAATTGTCTGTACCTATCTGGATTTCAAGAACTGTCATACCCCCGGTAATTTGTTCAAAAATATTATCTTTTACATAGCTTAGAACAATTAACATTCAAACATTTTGCTTTACTTAATTAGCTTTACAAACTTAACAATTGAAGTAACTTGCACTTGCCGTCTGACTGACGAAGGCCCCTGCTGCATCCCAGCGGCCCGTTGATGATGTTGATCTCGGGACAGTTATTAACATTTCCGAAAGTTTAAAAGAAACTTATTTTGTGAAATATTCTGCATGTTCATTGCCACATATTTAATGGTGTGGTATTTACAGGTCATTTAAGGAGTGGGTTGTTAATCATTGCAATACCACTCTCCAATTAAAGCCCTTCATCTTTATGGCATAGGACACCTCTTCATTAGTCCAGTTGCTGCGGACATAAGTTGTTAAACCCAACTTCATTGATTGTCAGATTTAGACAACGAAATCATCGTTTCAAGCTTGTAACTGCAAAAAAAAAAAATCTGTTAGAAACAAGAAAAAGTTCTGGCAACTGGTTTACCAGAATATTTTTTTATGTTAATTTTATTCTGTTTTTATTTTTAAACAGAGAATATACACACTGTTAGAAATTTTTGTAAAATTACAGTAGTACAAGTAGTTTTTGTACCTTATTTGTCGGTATATTTTCAAAAATATAGTACTTTTATCAAGTCTGGTGTATTTTTACTGAGGTTCGTGTATGTTTACCGAGTTTCACATGTTTTTTTACAATGAACTCAAAGACACATTCAAAATCTGGTAAAAATACATTCTTACATGTGTAATATTTCAAAACTGAACTAAAAATAACCAAGCAAGCATGTAATTTTACATATTTTACGTTTATTCACATTATTTTGCAAATTTACTTATAGGTTTGAAATATAAGTAAAATTACAGCAGTTAACGCATTTTTTTTTTTACCAATATTATGTATTTTTAGCAAGTTTCATTTCTTTTTTACAATAAACGGTAAAGTATTTTTAGCAAGTCTTATTTATCCGGGTTTCTCTCGAAACGTCTCGGAACGTTTGAAATGCCCTGGCTGTTCTTGTCCATTCCTTTTAACAAGTAAGTAGGCTAGCATAAAATAACGCTCTACCCCATCTTTGTTCTACGGCTAGTTTGGTGGTCTTGACTACCCTTGAAACCGTTAGGCCTATATCTTTTCCTATAGCTTGCATGCTATATACATTTTATAGTCTACGGTGTTAATCATTAAGAAATGTATGTATACTCCAAGGTTAACCCCGAAATAGAGCAGGGATGAAGTTATTGCGTCACTTTCAACCATTTATCCACGCATGAACATCTAGTACCACTTCTCCGTTAAGGGGTTCAGAAACAAGGCCACGGCAATTTACCCATTTATGTGTTAGAAGAACTATAGTATATTCTATTCATCAACCCAATATTTGCTATCAAATTATGAAAAGAGTGATAAACAAAGGAAGCAAATGTTCAACATTCTCTCGGGCACCGTGTCCCTTTACTCAAACTCAAATTACTGGCTTTACCCTGAAGCGAACACGTATCGTTAGTGCGCCATTTAAAGGCCAGACTCGCCACCTCCCGCTTTTTAAATGCAAATTCCCGGCAACGCTACTACAAACGGACAAACATTTGAAAATTGAGATAAATGAGACCAATCTGTTTCACAGAGGTATCGCGAAGGCCCCTACCGAATATTCACCGATGATCAATGTGAAATGGAACAAGGTTGTGGAAAATATGGTTTAAGGCCTTTGCATTACAGTTATCTCCCTTCACTCCCAGGGGTCACTTTAACTTCCCGCCATTTCGAGCGTTGGTTTTTCCTCGGCGTGCCATTAGCCATTATTACTGGTATGTAAAAAAAATTAGAAGCAAATTGCTCGCTGTTTATTTTACGAAATGAGTCAATATATTCAGGTAGTGGAGCACGAATGGGGTGAACCGATAGAAATCCCCAGTGAGGAAGACGGCACATTGTTTTTATCGACTCTCTCGGCACAGTTTCCCACAGCATGTGGATTGAAGTATAGGAATCCCATCACCGGAACATTCCGCGGAATTCGGCATGTGGATGGTAGGTTGCACCCGCCAGAAGGTTCCTGGGGCATGAAGCTGTATGTTTGTGTACATCCTAAAACAGGTATGTATTACAGTGAGATTATTTAGAGATGTTAATATTACGGTATAATAAGATACAATCATTATATTTACATCAAGATGTTATTGATGATGATGTATTATGTCGTAGCCGTCATGCAGGGACTTCAGTAGTTCAGCTCTGAACGTATTAAGTCTCATAACTCGCCCTGTACGTTTAGGAACTGTCCTATTGAATTCTAGTTCAGCTCTGAGATCACATTACACTCGCCCTGTACGTGTTATTGAATCCTTGGCGAAAAAGTTTGGCTTCCCAGTCAATTCTACTGTGCAACTTTTTACTGCTAAATGGTCGCCTGTCAGTTCCTGTGAACGCCTGACAAATGTAACTGAACATCTTAGTGAGAAAATAAGACCTTGCTTACACAAAATGAGCGACACAAAACACTGTTTAAAAATACGCCTCTGTCTTCTAACCGATTTGGCTGACTTCATTGAAAGGGTAACGCACAAATTTACGAACTCAGGCATAAGATGAAGCGAAATTTAGGTGAGTCTGGGGGAAAAAATTGGGATTTTTGAAAAAATTTGATTGTGAATTATTGTAATTGGGCTAGAAGCAATAAATGACTGAAGATTCATCATGTTGATATTTTTAAAAAAAAAAAAAAAAAAGCTTCACTAATACTTCAAAAGATTAGTTATGAAATCAATATTTGAAAGCATACCTTTGGATTTTTAAATACAAAATCAGCTAATTCAAAAGAATTTACTACATATGTTTCTGTCACATTGTAAGCCATGCTGTATCGTATGGTACCAGTGACCCGTATGTCAACTTTGACCCCATCGGCACAGCATCGCGTGCTCGAGTGATAATATAAACAATTTTACTATTATCTCTATTTTTTGCTATGGGATCACGTGGCTAAGTGGGTAAGACGCTGGCTCGCTAGCTTGGAGGTCAGGGTGTTCGATCCCTGCATTGGCCGAGAAAGTTCATCCAGATTTTCCAGCGTGGTTTCCCCTTGTCAGTGATGCAGGATAGAGGGCCTGACAAGGACAGCTGTACACATTGTCCTGCAAATAAAAGATCCCTTGGCAGTTGGAATTCGATATAAGAGTAGGCCGTAGCCCGTCTTCATTAGCCCAGGTTAGGAGCAGAACAGTAGGACGTTAAACCCCATTTCATTTCATTTCACTATTTTAATATAATTTCATCACATCATACTTGTTTCATTTTGAGACTTTGTTTATGGAGTGATGAGGTTAATACTGTAAAACAATTAATTTGTCAATCAGTTGAGGCAATTTAATGCTTGGCAGCGAGGGCTATAACATATACAAATGTCAAAACTTAGAGCGGGGGGGGGGGGAATTTGAAGTCATTAACTTCCCAGAGGCTTATAAGAAATGACAAGTGGAAGAAAACAATGTTGTGGCTATCATTCCAGGGTTAAAGGTCAGGTATCGTATGAAAACGAAAATCGAATATTAGTAATTTTTTGAACCGGTTCAACAGTGCAACCGAACCGTGACTGGTTAACCAAGTGACCACTTACATCCTTAGTCAAATGGAGAGAGAAATGGGGTTTAACCTCCACTCAATACAAACTAGTCATTTCAGGACTAACATATAGTTCAATTTTATTTCAATAATTCACTTGCGCGTAGGGGTCTTTAGCAGTGGCAGGAAACCGGAGGACCTGAAGAAAACCCACAAGGTTGGACAGGCGACCCTCTAGTGCATGTCATGTACAACTGGGGAATCAAAACCACGCTAGTTGACTCAATAACAGACCTTATGATACAACGTGTATGTGCTAACCATTCAGCCATCTACCCCTATCTTTTTGTATGGAGTACATACCAAACCCAAACATCATTTGGATTAAATGTTTCGGTCTGTATGAAAAATAATAAATACTGCATCACAATTTCCTGGAAATTGCTTTTGTTTTCAGCAATTTTTATAATGAATACACATAATTAACATTTGTATGACTTCTTAATTCACCCCTCGAAACTTTGTGCCTGGAAGCATAAGCAAGATACACGTGACAATTAAACATTGAATATATTTACTAAGTTTTATGGTAAATGAGTTAAATACTTTGTTATAAATTTTAATTAATCTTACATTGTACACTAATAGTTCACTATTGAATGTGGAAATGTCCAGCTGAACGATTGATTGGATTATAATTTATATGATGTGTTGCAAATGGTACTCAATAAGAAATGAATTTGCCTCACAAAAGTTATATCTAGGTACATGTAACAAATTCTGTATCAGACCCTCAAAATGCTTATTATTCTAACATTAATGAATAATAATCTATCAAAAATTTAAAAACAAGCCTTTTAGATCATTATTTTACTGTAATTGACATACATTAGCCAGTAAAACGTTCGTTTCATGTGCCTCCAATGTAAACATCTGGAAAATCGATGTCTTGGTCATCCCAGCCAGTAATACCGTGTTACTATTATTATGCTAAGCTTGAAATATATATTTATATCCCAAAGATCTTGGTTCCTTTTGATACAAGAAATAGGGCCGTACCGGTAACTTCCTGAATTAAGGCCCCTGATTGTGCAAAAAAACAGGTGTTTAGTGTGTGGACCCACCAGAGGTCACAATAATTATCTGATTTTGATGAAACTTGAAATAAATATTTATATCTCCCAAGATCTTGGTTCCTTTTGATATTGTCGCATATCAGACAGTAACATGCTGAATTTTGGCAGATTTTGCTAAATTTTGCTTTTATATATATATGTCCACATCGAAATGTCGCATATTGTGGCCCGATCCATCAGTCGTTCTAGCAACCACAATTGCTTGTGGACACTCTAGAGGCTAAAGTTAATATCCGATTGACTTCAAATTTATACAAATTTATACGCAGTGTTTAAGGTCATAAGACAAAGAAGCCTAGTAATTTCTGATAATTACTGCCAGAGTTATGGCAATTGATCAGGTTGAAATATCTTGTTGTCGCTCTAGAGGCTGAAGTTAATATCCAATTGACTTTAGATTTATACACAGGGTTTAAGGACAGGTCATGATACAACGATTTCCGATAATTACTGCTAGAGTTATGGCCCTTGATCACTTAAATATCTTGTGGACGCTCTAGAGGCTAAAGTTGATGACCGATTGACTTTAAATTTATACACAGTGTTTAAGATCATGAGACGAAGAAGCCTATTTTTCGGCGATAATTACTGCCAGAATTCTGGCCCTTGATCACTTTGAAAAATCTTGTTGACACTCTAGAGGCTAAAGTTAATATCCGATTGACTTTAAATTTATACACAGTGTTTTTGGATCATGAGTTCCTATTGATTTTCAGCGATTTCCAATAGTTACTGCCAGAGTTGTGGCCCTTGAAACAATCAAAACGAATTCTAATGTTTTCTGATAATTATTTCATGGGTTATTACTTGTAATCAGATTACTGACCAAAAATATGCGACAACACTCGTTGACTGCCCGGACGACTTAGCTACTGTGGGTGTATGTTTCGTTGCCTGGCAACCTATCTTTTACTCTGTCAGTCTCCTCCGTCTCTAGCAAAGTATAGGCATATCTTGCATGGCAATCACTTGTTATTTGATTTAGAAAACTGTTAAAAAATATCACTGTTACGCCATAAATGTTGTTGAGTTTCCATTTTGTCAAATGTCAGAGCATTCAGACTGAAAATGACTGTTCCCCTTACTGTAAATAGTATAAAAGCATGTAATACCATACCACCTTTGTGTACCCTTTTTAGGTCATAATTATCTGAATTTGATGCAACTTAAAATTTATGTTTATATTCCTAAGATCTTGGTTGCTTTCGATTATCAATGCCCATTGTGCAGTAACGTCCTGCATAAGGTTTAAGATATATTTTAATTTTAACATTTTTTCTTATTCAGCACCAGATTTGGATTCTCCCATTTTGGTGTCACCTACCCCATTTAACACAAGTAGCTCCAGTTGCAGCAATAGTGATACAAGTTCAGACAACATTTTGCTCAGCCAATGCTCATCCTTTCGAGAAGACGTGGAATGGGCACACAATTTTGAGATTCCATGGGAAAAATTTCCAAGAAACTTTATCAAGTGCTGCCAAAAAGAACGTCGGCCGAGTCCAAGTGATCGAAAGGCAGTTATCAGAATCTTGGTGGACGAAGTTTTACATCAATGTAATAAACCCACCGCTAAAGATATTGTGTTGATATGTTCTAAGCTAGTAGACAAATATAAAACATCTCTTAGTGACAATATCAATGGCGCAATAATAGGATGTGGATGTACAAGTTTAATAAACCAAGTGAGAGAGCGGGTGAACAATTTAAAAAGAAAGAAACCACCCACATCCACAGTATCCTCTAGCAATTCCTCATCTTCTGATACTAGCAGTGGCTCAAAACCCAAAAAGCCTTACTATGGGTGCGTTAATTGGAAGCCTGAAATTCACAATGTTGATGGACTCGAAGAAAAGATAAAATGGCTGAATGAAGAAAGTCGCAAAGTTAAAGGAGAACAAGACGAGAGTAAAATTAAACAATTTATGGAAGAAACTTACAGTTTGCAGAGAAAAGACATTAATGATGAATTTTCCATTCCTGAAATAAGACATCGCTGGCCATTTCTATTCAGTAAATATTCCTTCGGTCACTTTGAAAAATTGACTGGAGTTGATATAGAGACCGAGTTCTTAATTACATCCAAAAATCAAAGAAAATCGTGTGTTAAATACTTGCGACACCGTCAAGCATCATCAAAAGGTACAGCTGCCATGGAGCAAATATTTAGAGATATCGATAAATTTAAGCAGGAAACCGGCACTGACAGCCCTGAAACGGATGGTATAGCTCTTTTGTTGCTTGAGTATTTTAAAGAAACTGGACTAGTAGAGTTTTATTCGGTAAGTGTAATGTTTATAAGCAGTGACCGCCTCAAACATTCGCCAAGTCGCCAGTGGCCATAACGATGATAGTGGCGAAAGTTTTGGCAAATAACTTTTAGAGAGTGTAATTTCGTACATCTGTAAATTATAAACTTGAAATTGTCTAGCACATTAATTGACTCTAGTCTAAGTCTCAATCTTAGAAGTGTCAAGTTAGTGAATGGTTACGCATTAAAACGACTGAAAGATCAAGTCTCAAAACTTGTTAACTTTCAAACAGAGTTACGTCACATTTTTGTTGCGCTGCTTTGTTTACTTCTGCCAAGCTGCAATTGTTTTTATTCTCTTGTCTCAACAGCAAACTTTCACATTATAATAATTACTACTTATAGTTATTTACCCGAACGGAAAATACATGTAAGGATAAATTCATTTTTTCTACCTTCATCCGCGAAGCATATTATGAACGAAACGACATATATGACTTTTTCTAGAAAGTTGCTGACTGCGACAGACAATGTCATTTGTTACTTGATTGATGTGATGAGGCCTGCGACTGGGTTTTTCTCGTATGACTGAATAAAATTGATATATGGTATTTGACTACAAGTTTCTGAATTGGCTAATAAAATTTTGATTTGGCTAAAGGTTTTAAGAGGTCACTCTTTAAGTTGTCAAATTCTACATAAAAAGTTAAAACAAATTAAAATAAAATATGCTTTCATAGTGTTAATTTATTTGTGTGCATGATTGGCAGCGATGAAAATATTTTTGAAGATAGGAACTCTTTTATGTCTTAAGTCCTATTTATGTGTTGGTTTTTTTTTATGAAGTCGTCCACAGATACCAGAGAAATTGAATCTGTGATTCGAAAGACGGGATCTCCTATAATAGCTGTGGTTGGTAAGTGAATAAAAATACATGTACGTTGGGTTTAAAGAGCATTTGATAGCCAGGGTGAAAACTGAAAACATCCAATATTGTTGTGCAAGAATAACATCGCAGTAGCCATTTTAAATTTGGATGTCTAGCTTATTCCAGCTTTCATTTCTCAGTGCACACGCTTCTAATATATACGAAGAATTTATAAAGTTGTATTTCATGTACCCAACTACTAGTATCAATGTTGTTCATTTGTGTCTGGGTGTGACACAAAAATGATCTCATGAAGGTAAACTGTGCATTTCATTAAATATACGTCATGCAAGAGCCAAATCTGCCTATTGCAGGTCTTTCTTTAGGCTTGAAATGTTACATAAACTATTAATTAGATATTCATTAACATGAAAAGACCATAATCAACTATCAATGCCATCTTATGTGTCAGATTTTCATAGGATTTCAATCCGATCTCCTGTTCAATGCCCATTGATGATTAACTGTAAAAATTGATGATAGAGACTGATAATCATGACAGCACTAACAATAACAGTCGAGGCACCAGAGATTTTAAAATAAGGTTTTCTCAGCTTAGATTTAAGCAATTTGACTGAAATTTTCAACATATTCCCTTTACATTAATTAGTTTTTAACAGTTACAGTGAAAACTGTCAGCTCTCGATATAATCTTCCATAATGTATCTTTAAGTTAACTTTGGAATGTTTTTATTTTCAGGAAATTTGTACACTTCAACTATATACCATATTATTATTGAAAACACATCTGTTTGTGTCTGTGTTCTTTTTGAGGAAGCCTTGTGCATTTTATTCAGCCTCTACTATATTCTTAACTTAGAATATTTAGATTCAGCAACAGCTACTCTTGAATTCTTACAAAGGTAATTTCTAACTCTCATGAAATATACATTAACAGAAGTTGTAAATAAAAGAAGAGTAGGTGGATACATTGTCACAACCATTGCACTGCCCAGGCCAAATTTCTTTCATAACACACTAGGGATGATGGTGTTCATTAGCCAGGACATGTAGGTGTAGAAAAGAAGACTTTTAAACCCTCTTACTTTTTACATGTCGCTGTAACATTTGTTTAGTGTGCATTCAATTTCAGTTCACAAATAAAATTGTGTATTAACAATGGACATTCATTTTAATAAATGTAACAGTAGCCCACTGCATGCATGGTGCACATCTAGATAAATGTCATCTGTGATGTCATAAACTTTTGATACTGCAAGTCCTGTTATGTATCCCATTAAAAATTTTCGTAGTGGCAACAAAGATATGTATTGAAGGAGTGAACCTGGACCTCGGCCTCACTATTGGCTTGTTGTTTTGAAAAAAAAAAAATAATTTGACATTAAACTAGTTCACAAGCTCTGTAGTAGTTTATCTTCTATTGAATAAATTTAGAAGTGGGTTGATAAAACTTTACTGGAGCAGCCAACCTTTGTATGCCATAGTTGTTAAGTAATGTTTTAACCCCCCACTGATCAATTGATTCCAAAAAAAAAAGAAAATTAACAGGAAGCTTCTTAAATTTTAAACAATTTTTTATTTTAAAATTTGAAAAAAAAATTGAAATTAATAATCAAATTAGACATAAGTGATAATATAATACACCTTCAAAAGTTGAGCCTACAAGCTGATACATTGATAAAACTTTGTCCTGTATACATTCTTATAGACATTACTTGTGGATCAGTCTATTTTCTTGATTTTCTGAGCAAGCTTTCTGCAGTTACTTACTGTTGTTAAAATTTTTGTAGCATAGACAGAACATACTTTTATACATTAACTTAAGGATATAATGTGCTGATTTACATGTGATTCCTGAAGTATGGCCCCTGATTGTACGAAATATAGTATTTTTGGCTTGTGGTCCCTCCAGAGGTCACACTTTTTATCCGATTTAAGGAAACGTTTTAGTATATCACAGTTACACCGTAATGAAGGTTGAGTTCGAATTTTGTGAACATCAGACCAAAACTGCCATACAGAATGGCCGCTGCTTGTACGCAAATAGTGTAAAAATATGGCATATCAAGGTCGCTTTTTTTAGCTTGTGCTCCCTCTGGAGGTCACAATTATTATCCGATTTAAAAAATACGTTTGATTATATCACAAAATGGCTGCTCTTTGTATTAAAATTGTAATTCAAACGTTATGGACCCTCTAGAGGTCACATTTTCTATCCAATTTTGATGAACTTAAAACATATCTTTATATTCCAAAAATCTCAGTCCCTTTTGATATTTGCACATTTCAGACCACAACTTTCTGGATTATGGTCCCTGATTATACAAAAAATTGTTTTTGTTTTTAGCTTGTTCTCTATCCATGTGGGCGTATCCTTTCTGGCAGCCTCTGGTTATTCTTTGCGTGACTGTGTATCTTTTGTAATCAGAAACCTGGATAATAAGCTGTTGTGTTGATGGATTTACCATGTATATACCCTGTACCTTCTTTTGACTATGGGGGTGGGTGAATGGTTAGCACATGCGCGCTGTATCATAAGGTCTGTCATTGAGTTAACTGGCGTGGTTTCAATTCCCCAGTTGCATGTGACAAGGAGTAGGGTCGTCTGTCCAACCTCGTGGGTTTTCTCCAGGTCCTCCAGTTTCCTCCCCCTGCCAAAGACCCCTACACGCAAGAGAATTATTGAAATAAAATTGAACTATATGTTATTCCCGAAATGACCTAGTTTGTATTGAGTGGACGTTAAACCCCATTTCTCTCTTTTCTTTTGACTACCTGGACGTGGAAGTGCAAACATGTGAATTTATTACTATTCAACACCAATCTCTTTATCATTACCAGTATTTATTTTAACATTTCAGGGCTTTTATGGGCATGAACACTGTTCAAGGAACGAAATCTAAAAAAAAATCGAAGAAACACAGCGTAAATCCCAAGGTTTTGCAGCTTGCTAATGAACTGCGCACTTTCACAGAGCAGCAGCAAATTGGTGACTGAATTTCTTTCTATAGACAGAAAACAAATCTTTAGTGTCTTGTCTATACGCTTATACATGTAGTTTGCGGTTGAAAATACATATATAAGGTATTCCAGTCTGAATATGTTTAATATCCTTTTAATTTTTCATAATTGTTATTTGATAAAATTAGAATGAACAAGGAATATGTCATGAAAAGTAAACTGCTTTTGTTCACAGCTTTTTTTTTGTTGGATTCCTTTCAATTTTTATTTTCAAATAGCTGTACATTGTAATTCATATTATTATGCACTTTGAATGTAAATATTGTGCATTTAAATTGCCCTCTATCCGGAGCTATTTATCTCATTATCAACTTCACAGAAATGTAAAGAATATAATATTTCCATGCTGTCATCCAAAATGCAACAAAGACTTTGTTAGATTTAACTCACTGAAATCTCATATGACGCGTTATCATTTATGGAAAGAAATGCCATCCCCTTCTCAATCTCAGCTTGATATTAGTAGTTCAAAGAACATTTGGTCCATACCTGAATGTAACAAAATATTTTGGGACCAGAAAGAACTGGTGTTGCATGTAAAACATCACATAACTGGTCGAGAACCTGTACCATGTCCATTTGAGAACTGTAGTAAAGCCTATACAGTACAATCTTCATTTACTGCTCACATTTCACGTAAGCATTCGTTGTTTCCAAATTCCATCTGTGTTAAACCATCTGATCGGACTGAATCGGGTTTGACACTTCATAATGAGGGGCATATGAACATCGAAGATGAATTAAATTCAGAAAGTGATCTATCCTTAGAACCTGTGGTGGACATTGCCGGGTTCAAAAAGAGTCTTGCACTTTTCTTTTTAAAGCTTGAAAGTGTGCACTTAGTGCCTGTTAGTACCATAGATACCATTAGAACAGATTTTTCACATTTGCATTCTTTATCACAAGAAATGATCAAGTCTAAATTAAGGAAATGTGTACTAGAATCAAAGATGTGTTCTGAAAATACAGCTAATGATTTAATTCAGTCTGTTTTTGAAGTTGATGCACTAGGTAACTTAATGTCAAATGATGAGCATAATTTATTTGGTTCTGATTACAGACGAATGAAGTACATCAAACAAAACTTTAGCTTTGTTGAACCTGTTGAAATAAATTTGGGATTGAATGCTTCTAATAAATTATGCTCATTTAGTTATGTTTCTGTAAAAAAGACTTTGCAAACTTTATTGACAAATGAAAATATAACAGATCATATAAGTGATCCTACAAGTATGCCATTATCTGGTGTTGGTGAATTCTGTGATATTTTAGATGGCGAAGTTTTCAAAAGCAATTCTTATTTTAAAAATAATCCATCTGCTCTGAAAATCATACTCTATCAGGATGCTTTTGAAATAGTTAACCCTTTAGGCTCTGCTAAGAAGAAACACAAGATTTTGGCATTTTACTATACAATTGCAGATATTTTTGGTCATAACAGAAGTACTATTGATTCTTTCCAATTAGCAATTTTATGTAGGGAAATCGATTTTGAATATTTTGGTAACAAAGTAATAGAACCTTTATTAAGGGATATTGAAGAATTGTCAATAAATGGAGTGGAAGTAAATGGATGTTTTAGAAAAGCTAATGTTATATGCATTTTAGGGGATAATTTAGGAAGTCACATTTTGGGTGGATTTGTAGCAAATTTTGGTAATGCTGAATATTTTTGTAGATATTGTAATATTACCAAGCAAGAATTTCAAAATGATCCATTATCCATTCATTCCATACAATTAAGAGATCTTTCTTCGTACAATAATGCACTGTCAACTTTGAATAATTCAGATCTTCTGCATGTTACGGGTATAAAATCTAATTGTTCATTTCATTCACTTGAAGGCTTTCACGTGTGCAATCCAGGGTTACCAATCTGTCTAGGGCATGACTTGTTCGAAGGTGTTGTCAAGTACGATATAGCATTATTTCTCAAAGAAATGATAAGCAAGCGAAAGTGGTTTCATTTGAAAGATATAAATTTTGAAATACAGTCATTAAAATTGAAAGCTGCAGAAAGTGGTAATCGTCCACCTTTACTAAAAGCAGACATTACTAGCCTTAAAGGACATGCCATACAAAACTGGACATTATTAAGAATCCTTCCTATTCTGTTAAGAGACTTCATTTCTGATCCCGAAGACAATTTGTGGCAAGCTGTTTTGCTTTTAAGAAATATTACAGAATATCTTTGTTCATACAGGATTTCCATCAATCAAATCGCTATAGTGAAAAATTTAATAGATGAATACATTGAATTAAGAAAATCTTTGTTTCCAAATGTTAGTTTAAGGCCCAAGCACCATTATTTTAATCATTACCCATGGTTAATCACTCAATTTGGTCCACTTTTGCATGTTTGGACAATGCGTTTTGAAAGCAAGCACACATTTTTTAAGAGATGCATTAGAAGCACAAAGAATTTCATAAATGTAACAAAAACTTTGTCAGAGAAACACCAGCTTCTTCAAGCATATTGTTTGGCAGGAAACTTGTTTACACCTGATCTCTTATATGACAATTTAATGGATATAAAAATGGATATGTTGGATGTAAATATTCAGTATTGTATTAAGGAAAGGTATGATAATACTTCTGTTGTGCATATGGTAGATTATTTTATTGTCAACGGCACCCCTATCAAAAAGGGAATGTTGTTAATAATAGATGTTGTTAATACCGAATTTCTTGTTTTTGGTCAAGTAGAAATATGTTTACTATTAAATAGTAATCCATCTTTTGTATGCAAAATATGTAATTCATACAGGTCAGAATTAGGTTTGTACAAGTTGGATTTTGAGAATGTTGCAAAATTTCGTCTGGTTTTGTCAAAAGAATTGCCCAACCCATTTCCTTTGAATCCATTTATAATAGAAGAGACAAAGCTTGTTGCATTAAAAGGATATCCGTTTGATCAAATGATTCATTCGTAGACTTTATGAATGTATTTTACTTATACACTAAATTTGGTCGTGAAACATAATTGAACATATTCTAAAAAGTTTATACTTAGTTAAACCAGTTTCCAAAGGACTTAAATAATGTAAGTGAAGGTACAGTGTATATGTATTTATGACATGTTTGTAATGAATATAAACTTTTTAGTATTGCTTACAATTTTTTAGTATTGCACGTCTACAACAAGAACATTTTGTATATAGTCTAAAATCGTTTTGTTAAAAGATTGCAATTTAGGGCAAAACTAGAATCATAGTTGTACAATTAGTGGTATTCAGTTGTTTTTTTTTCTTGTCCCAACCCTGCAACCAATTAAATCTGGTCATAAGCAAACATCTTTCCTACATCCCCAATTCCACATTTTCCCCAAACTCGACAAAGTTATTGAAGGTTTCTGTGAAAACGCCTCTTTTTAACCAGTGACTAATTATGAAAGATATGTATGTATATGAATATAGTACTGTTATTTTAATTGTTTGAATAACTGGAAAACTGCACAGTAAGCTGAAGTATCGTTTGTATCTGTTCAAATTAATGTGAAGTCCATTCTTTGAGCGCCATTAGCAAACAAAATCCATTTGAGGGGTACATTCACCATTTTCATTATTTTAGTTTGAATAAGGCATAGTCATATTCAAATCAAAATTTATTGTGCAAATCCGTGAAATTTAATTGCAAGATTTATATCATTGCTTGAAGTAGCTGCTTGTAAAATCTGCATAATGCTCTACTTTAGAAATATCCTTCATTATTTGTTTATCGTATCCCTTATAGAAATGCCTGCCATAGAATATTGTTGCACAGATAACTTTGTATGCAGTTTGTTAATTTTATTTATTCTTTTTATGAACAGAAAAATATCTGTTTTCAATTTGTTTTGTTTTTTTTTAAATATGTCAATAAAAGATTTTTTAAAACTAAATGTTTTGTTCTTATACTTTGGATTTAAAATGCAAATTGGAGATAAATGAAGGAATCTGTAAATCAACAATGCCATTTATATGCAGCAAAAATTGCCAGTATAGTTACAGTATCTAATCATTTATTTCACTTTGTATAATTTTACCATAAAGTGGTAAAAAAAAAAAAAAATACTGGGGGTTATTTTTACAGGTTAGTGGTAAATTTATGATTACAGTTGATTTGTTTTTTAACCAGAAACTGTAAACCGATGTTACAGTCAGTGTGTTATATAACATTTGTCTGTAATTTTTAATTTACTGCTTTTAGGTAAATTTACATATGGAAGTTAAAAGACAAACTTACTGTAATCATCCATTTACTGTGCTGTGGTGAATTTACAGTCCAAAGTTAAAAAACAAACTCATAGTTATTTTCTATTTACTGTTTTCAGGTATATTTACAACCAAAGTCAAATTACAGAAACTCTGTAACATTACAGATGAATGTTTATTAACAGGAATTTTACTGGCAACTTTTGCTGCCAGTAATTTTCATGTAAATTTACCAGATTTTTTCTAACAGTGCAGAGATAAAATCTGGTAAACCACTTGCCAGAATTTTTTTGTTTGTTTGCAGAATTATTCCCCGTTAAAATTATCCCTTCAAAAAGACAATCTAAAAACCTTAAATCACTGTTAACTAGGGCTAAATTTGAATCCCTCAGTCCAATTAAGGAAGTTGTAAAATGTGGAAGGGATAATTGCGGCACGTGTAGATATTTATTACCTGTCAATGAAAATATGAACTGTAAAGCAACTTACAGTTCGGTGGCTGTACCGAACTGTACATCGATCGGTTGCACTAACAAGTTACAAAACAGACTAACGGTTCATAGACAACATATCAGGGGACCAAATTTAAGGAAGATCCCTTTAAGTCAGCCCCTTGATATCTGCGGTAAAGGCGAATTCAAAATATACACTTTCTTTAAGATGCCGTATTCAGATCCCATGAAAATGGGATTGAAGGAACAATATTTTATTGACCAATTTAATCCCAAATTAAACATTCCAAAATAATTACAATAGTATGCTATATTATCTACTTCATTATTATTACATTATTGTATGTATATTCTTCCATGACGTCACGTCATTGTTATTGTTATTGTATGTCGTGACAAGCTCAGGCGAAACATGTAGACAATTAAACAATAATACTTTCTTTAAGCATTTTTAACCTTTATTTTTTCTATATTAACACTACTACGGGTTCAACTTTCAATATATACATTGTGTGAACATACATGTCTGAGTGTCATTTATTTATTTTGGGAATTGAGGTTGGGGATATCAGCATATATCTAATTCTTTTATTATCTATTTTTATTTTTATTTTAAGCGACTCGAGATTGCAATTTGGCAGGTGGTTTGTCATTTATCTGTGATTTCATTGTTGGCGTTGGTGCATCCGCGTTTATAATTTATTTTATAAATATAGGTATGATAATATTTAATATTTTAATTTCCTTTAAAAGGCAAAATATAGGAATGATAATATTTAATATTTTAATCTCTAATAAAACCTCATCTGAAGGTCTCCTGTAAAGGGCCAAATAAAGGCATTCTAGACCATTCGACCCATCAGTGATTTCCACAACATAATTTGGCAGGTATATATGTTGCTATGGTGATGTTTATTGAGATTTGATGTCGGCATCTATTATCAAAATTCTGGATAATAAGGAGTTCCAGTGTTTATTTCTATACGCCCACATTCTACAGACCACATTACCTTTTTCAAATTTCTACAATTTCCTTCAATTAATTCTTGAGTTATGGTCATTGTTTCACTTTTTAGAATAATTTAAGCACTTTACAGAAATGTATTGAATTTCAACTATTTCTGTTAATTACTGTCAGAATTATTGCTCTTGTTTATATCATAGAATTTTGTGAAAGCGACAGAAATATTATACAAAGATTTTACTGTTTATTTAACTAAAGAGGATTACTTATAGCGGACTGCTGGAGGCGTATGTTTCATTTACCTGGCAAGATATCCTTATACAACTAGATTGAAATATTGTTCAATATTATCGTCTCCCTGTTCATCATCCATTATTTATTCAGACTTGATTGATTGATTGTTTATATAAAGACAAATAGATTATTGATAAATTACTGCTAGAGTTATTGTTCTTGGCACAATCTTGTGAATGCTTTTACAACAAAAGTGATCACCCAGACTGCTTGAAATTTATATATTGTCCTATTTCGACAATTTCCATGGTAATGATTTTATTGTCACAATTCACAGGTCTGACTACCAAAATAAAGATTGCAGTCTTTGTTACTCATGCTGTTGCTTCTGGGATTCTTGGTGGCGGAACATATGGAGCGTGCAGTAAGTATTAAAAACCTTTACCATGAACATATGAGAGAGAGAGAGACAGAGACAGAGAGAGAGAGAGAGAGAGAGAGGTACTAACATATAGTTCAATTGTATTTCGGTACTTACATATAGTTCAATTGTATTTCGGTACTTACATATAGTTCAATTGTATTTTGGTACTAACATATAGTTCAATTGTATTTCGGTACTAACATATAGTTCAATTGTATTCCATAACTCGTGTCTGCCTAAAGACTCTTATAAACAAGCAAACTATAAAAGTAATGTTTGACCTATGTGTTAAAACCGAAAATGGCCTTTCTTTCTCTAGCCCTCCCCTATTATTAAACAATATCTGTTGTATTTTTAGATTATGGCCCAGCAGCTGGCGGTATAGTTGACTGTATTAATAGTACCAATTCTTGTGTTTATTTTTAGTTAATAACGTATCAGTTGCTGGTATGGTGTGTATCAGTATTGGCTGTATGTCCACAGTATGGGCAGTAACAGCCGCTGTTGTTAGACTCGCTTGTATATGTAAGTAGCTGTTTTATTGTACTGTTTTGAATGACCATTTTTATGGTATTGTTTTAACTTGCAGAGTTATCTCCCCATTTCCATTGTAACTATACTATTCAAAAAAAGTAGGGGATATTTGATTTTTAAGTGTTATTAAAGTCACCTAATGAAACTGACGAAGAAACAAATGACAAAATGAAATGAAGTTCACATTCATCGATTTATTCCAAATGATCGTTAGACTAAGTAAGGCACAGACTGACCATTATAAGGGTAAAATGATACCCGGGGTCAAACAGCAAAGTTACCACAGCATCACAACCAAGTCAGTAACGGGTAAATCCTCCTCTGTTTGCCAAACAAGCATTGATCCGACGTGGCATACTCCTAATGAGACGTCTAAGGTCATTTTGGTCCAGATTGTCCCATTCCTGTTGCAACGCAGCAGCAAGTTCTTGGACATTGGCAGGACGTTGTTGACGTTGACGTAACCTCTGTCCAAGCATGTCCCAGACATGCTCGATGGGGGAGAGGTCGGGACTCAGTGCTGGCCAAGGTAATGTGGTGATGTTCTGTTGTTGGAGGTAACCTGTAACGATCCTGGCCCTGTGACATCTTGCGTTGTCATCCTGGAAGATGAAACGGCGGCCAAAACGGCGGCCATGACGTCGTGCGAACGGCACAACATGGACTGCCAAGATGTTGTCCCGGTAGTACTGGCCTGTAACACGCCCTGCAACAACATGTAAAGCCGTTCTTCCAGCAACAGTGATGCCTCCCCACACCATAACAGAACCACCCCCAAATCGATCATGTCTGATGACGTTAACGTCTTGGAAGCGCTCGTTTCGACGACGCCACACCCTCCTACGTCTGTCCAAAAAATCAACAGTGAACCTTGACTCATCTGAAAACATCACATTGCTCCAGCGTCGATTATCCCAGTGTTGACGATCCCTACACCAACGACGTCTTGCCTGAATGTGATGATCTCTCAAACAAGGGATCACGCGAGGACGTCGGGCGCGAAGGTGACCCCTATGCAGTCGATTCCGAATCGTCTGGCCACTCACTCTCACACCAGTGTCTGTTTGAAGACGAGCGCTGATCTGATTTGCTGTGATGACACGACACTCAAGGCCAAGGTACGGATAAATCGATCCTGGGCTTGAGTTGTCGCCCTTGGTCGACCTGAGCGTGGTCTGTCCTGTACAGATTGTGTATCACGGTATCTGGACCATAGCCTGCTTATGACAGACTGAGAAACATTCATCGTCCGCGCCACAACCGCCTGTGTTGTGCCGATCTGTAGCATGCCAAGGGCACGTAACCTTTCATTTTGGGTAAGCCGACGCATATCAAAATTTGTTTTCTGGTCACTAAAACAATTAAACTGATGTTTCCACCCTGGAATTCAATGCCACAATGACTGTAACATTCAAAGTCAGAGTCGTTCAAATCTTGGGTTGGACCCCCATGATGATCCCAAGCATCACCTGCATTCCATGCGGTAGCTATTGGTGCGTTTGGGCGTCACATGTAACTGGAAATGTTTCTTCTGTTAGGTTCTATAGTGACTTTTTTCGTAGTCATTTGCATCTTTTAGTATTATGCCCCCAAAATCAAATATCCCCTACTTTTTTTGAATAGTATATAAACTAAGTCTAGAATAAGGACAGTTCTCCTCTTCTCTATTAAATTTATTAAAACTCTAGTAAAAATGTCCATTGGGCGCATCAGCGTGAATTTTATCACCAGTTATAGGTTGTACATTAAATCTGATGGAATGTTACGAATGTGATGATACAGGATAACGATTTGGATGGAAGATTTACAGCTGGGTTTTATAGACTTAACACTTTAATACAGCTGGTGGTGGTGGTTTTATTAAAAGGTCCTGACAAGTTCAAGACTGTGATATAACAGGATCATCGGGGGGGTATATAGAATGGTACAATGCATGTGCTTTAGAAAATAAGGTCTGTCATTATATGCTGTAATGTCGTTTCCAAGCTTATACACGACAAGGAGTAGGATCGAATGTTTCACCTTGTGGGTTAACTCTGGGTACGGTTTCCTCCCACGTGTAAGTGAATTATTAAAATTAAATGGTTCTATTGTTTTGTGTCTGGATCTGTTTGGTTTTTTTTCAAGAATCTAAAAAGTAAACTGAAAGATCAAACACGTGATTTTCATCATCGTTTTAGTTGGATAAATGTCAGACATATTGTTTTAAACTTTGAATTTAATTCCGCATTTTCATTTTTCGGGAATTTTTATGTATAATGAAACAACACTACTGATCGACGACATAATTAATTCTATTTTTACAGTTTGTTACAATAAAGTACACGATGGATTAGATAACTCCGAAACGCCATAGGTTGGTCTTTAAATTGTTATTTTAAGATATTAAAATATATTTAGGTTATGAATGAGTACTACCGAATGCACCATATTTTGGTTTTAAGGAGCTGCCCCCCCCCCTCCGTATTGACGTGGTGCATCCAACGCAGGTCGCGTTGTTGACGGCATTCTGCAAAATTATCTTTAAAATGGCTAGCAAGGCTTCTAAGAGGAAAACAACAAAAACTACAGTTTTGTTAGAACTCCCTGACTCCGACAACAGTTTCGGCAACGAAAATTCTGTAGATAAGCTTCATTTTATCGCCGGGACTGATGAAAACTGTGTTGTCAACAATGCCGCGATTGACCAGTCTCACAATCAGAAGGCCGGGATACCTGCACATGTTAATGTCACTACAATTAATGTTAAGGACACTGTCGCCAAAACAGAATTTTTGAATCTTGAACAGCAATTGGCACAGATTCGTCTTGAACGTAAGAAAGTACACTTACGACGTGAAATAGAACGAGAAAAGGAAGCGATCTGTCAACTTCAGGCCACTGACCCTGTAACACAAAATACGGTACAAGGCCGACCCCATGCTCAACTTTATGATATGCTGACCGGTGCTATATGGCCCTTTGTCAGCGTCGAGTCAAAGGCCGATATCGCTTCTGGTTTACTCAACTTTGCAGCTTGGGAAAACCTTTACCCAAAAATGACTTTAATCGTGAATATATTTCGGAAGGTGTTCGAGATGGCTTCCGTATTATTGATGTTGACTCGGCGTCGTCATTGGTGCTAGTATAAACTAATAATTATAGGTCCTGTAAACGGTGTTAGACGAGGACCAAATTAAATGTGAAATTGATAATGGTAACTACTTAATCAACCAGCAGAAACATTTGATCATCAGTTCATTGGGAGCAATTCCTAAATCATCGACCATAGTTCGGCTTATTCACGACGATAGTCGACCTTTCGGCAAATCATTAAATAATTATGTCACAACATAGTGCACCTGTGAGTACTGCAATAACCAAAGGCTGTTTTTTGGCAAAAGTGGACTTGTCCTTCGCCTACCGCTCATTAAGAATTCATCCGTCAACTTCAAGCCAAATTCTTGCCCGGAGTCAATAATGTTGTAGCGGACACTTGTTCACGACTCCATGATATAAACAAGCTACCCGTGATTTATTCTCTCTTACCGTCATTACAGTTTCATCCATTTAATATTCTCGAACTGTGTAGTCACATGACTTTGAAATTTATTTTCTATAGGTGGTGTAACCGAGGAATATATGACACAGCAGACTGCAGAGTTAAAGAATAAAACTTGGTCTACGAGTACGGCAGTAACTTATCGTACACATCTCAAAATGTTATTTAAAGTTTTGTCAGCTTTTCGAAAAATGCGCGGTTCCCGTTGATTCACGAACTCTCCAGTTATATGTAACATATTTTGTTAGTTAAGCATTTCAAGTATGCCACGGTTCAGCAATATCTAAATATTCTACCGCATGTACATAAGTTATCTGTTTTTTTCCGATTATATACAAGGCGATTGTTGTTAATAGGTGTTAAGAGGGAACTGGGATTAGCTCAGATTCCATTCGATGTTATCACACCAGATATATTATATAAGATTTAGTGTGTTTTAAGTTTTGACGATGTCTCTGATCACGCTTTCTGGTGCGCATGCTTAACTGTTAACTGCTTTCTTTGGATTACTTCTCCCAGGCAATGTGACTGTGGCATCTACCTTTGATCCAAATAAGGATTTACGTAGAAATGATTTATTGTTATGGTCATGGGACTATCTCTTAAGTCTGCAATACACAGAGACTGTGGAGTTTCGAGAAAGAATACAATGTATTACGATCTATTTACCTCTAATAGATAATCCCTTATGTCCTGCAAAAGCTTTCGATACTTTCCTTGATAGGACAAACTCAGTCGATCGCTTAGGTTACCTATTTATTGTTGACCATAGCAGATGTTTGACTTATAAAGGATTTCGGTCATTTTCTGGAATACCACATTCTAAAATAAAGGGCCATTCTTTTAGACGAGGTGATGGAACGTGGCTTAGTAGAATTGGCATTCGGAAAGATACCATTAAAGGCACCGGTTATCGGTGAGGCCGTTAAGAGTTATATCGATACGGATTTCTCCAATAAATTACATATACTATGACTACATTTGGGGAGTCATTTACAAACCCATAATTCTTTATAGAATGACCAATGTCACCATATACCTGTTTCCATATATTCTCTCAGTTCTCATTGACTGGGCTGGGGAATTTTATTTGTATAAAAAACTTGTAATTTGTAATTATTTGTATTAAGTTCTAATTTTCAATGATATTGTATAATTATGATGTTTCTGATGAAGGTTATGGAAGCCATTAAAGAATTTGCCCAGATTATATTTGCTATTGTTTCTTCTGCCCGCTTTCACGAATGAATGGGGTCAAATTGTCTATTTGTTGTCTTCAGGTCTGCAACAAATTTTAATGTTTTGTTCTTCGGAAACTCCCGTTAAAATGTTGCTTCTGAAAAAAAAATAATTTACAACCAAAATATGTTTGATTGCTCTTCTCAAAAGCTTTCGATTCCTTTTTTTTGAAACAAAAACGATTGTTTACAAGATACACGAGAAGTTTTATCAAAAGTACAAAATATTAAAAAATTGCTTTATTAAATTAATGAATATTCGTTCGTGTGAAATTTGTTAATAATTTGTGCCTTTTTAACCTTTTAGTGATCCACCGAAAAGTGGATCGAGAGTTTTGTTTAATTTCTTTTTGCGTTGTTTAATTTCGTAAATGATTTATAATCAACATAAAGAGAAGAATTGAACAATGATATTTTAAGAGGCGTTAGAACTTTGAAGATCTTGCTGAGTTTGACAGTTACATTGAGTATGATATTATACTCTATTAGTCAGAATATTTTCTAAACAAAAATATTTTTTTTTACATTGTTTAGTTATTGAACAATTTAATCAATAATTACCCAACATACTGGATACTAGAATAGTGAAACTGTAAATAAAAGACAATAAAGTTTAGTACAATCGAAAACTTTGTCTTATAAATTCTTCTGTCTGATGGTGATCCCGGACTAGTATAAGTGTCAGTAGCAGATACATGTGGTGTATTGTACGGACTAAGAGTTACATGTTGTGTATTGTACGCGATAAGAGATACATGTTGTGTTGTACGGTCAGTAAAAGATACATGACATGTATAATTGCTGGTAGCAGACGTGTGGTGTATTGTACGCGATAAGAGATACATGTTGTGTTGTACGGTCAGTAAAAGATACATGACATGTATAATTGCTGGTAGAAGACGTGTGATGTTTTGTACGCGATAAGAGATACATGTTGTGTTGTACGGTCAGTAAAAGATACATGACATGTATAATTGCTGGTAGAAGACGTGTGATGTATTGTACGCGATAAGAGATACATGTTGTGTTGTACGGTCAGTAAAAGATACATGACATGTATAATTGCTGGTAGAAGACGTGTGATGTATTGTACGCGATAAGAGATACATGTTGTGTTGTACGGTCAGTAAAAGATACATGACATGTATAATTGCTGGTAGAAGACGTGTGATGTATTGTACGCGATAAGAATTACATGTTGTGTCGTACGATCAGTCTTACTTTTCTGTTCCTGTCGAGCTAATGAAGAACATTTTGCCCGGACAGCGACCTAAGGCATACTCTTTTTTCGGATTTCAAATGGCGATACTAACTACTGGACGCCCCCCCCCCACTCGACCCGCGCAAGTGACAAGAGGAAACTATATCACAAAATCGTGAGGAATGTTCATGGCCATCACTGGGATCGAACCCAGATCTATATGTTAGCGTTTCAGTGCCTTATTGAGTTATTAATCTACAGAATAATTTTCTTTTCTATTGCGTTGTTTAACATGTTGAGACGACTACAGAAGAAAAATACTCAATGTTCAATAACACAATAATAATTTCAATTTTATTACCAACCCTTTCACAATATTCGAAAGAAATATTCCAGACGGGGTGTTAATCTGATTTAGGTTTCTTGTCTAATTCAATAAAAAACATAATAAGATATGTCTTGGCTTTATTAAGTAGTTACAATAAATTACTCTATTCGTGTATTTCAAATACTTCAATTCAAGAGATCAAAACGATTTGCACTGACACATCCAACAAGACAGGTAAGCCTGAATGTATTTTTCAAATACGTATATAAACATATTTTTAGCTTGTGTCTGTCGGCGACAGCCACCATTGTGAAAACTCATATATTTATGTGGGGTGGGGGCGGGGAGTTTACCAGTAAAAATGCGACTTTTAATACGACATTTGGGCCATCTTTTTATATACTAAATGGAAATTATTTTCATTTTTGTCACTTTACAAATATGTAAATAATACTCTGACACATTCCTATTTACGTAACTTGAACAAGATTTTTTTGGATCGTACCGAAACATATTAGTATACGGGTCTTAATACATAATTAATGATTTTTTTTCACGTACTGCTGGATAGTATGTTTATAGCTTGCTTCAAGAATATGAACTGGCACGTTATTATTCACATACCTTGAAAAACGTTTCTTTAAGTCAGACGGTACTGAACTCTATGAAGTGATGGGGGTGGGAGGAGGGTTCTTCAATGTTAAAATACGGACCATAATGCCACATTTCCCCTATCACACCCAATGCCACTATAAAAGAGGCTCCATTTAACTTTATAAAAATGTAAATTATACTCTATCATATCTATATTTAAATACCTTGAAAATGGTGGTAAAGTTGGGTGACACGTGGGGGTAGGGGACAAATACATTTGAAGATTTTTTTTTGATTTTCTTACAGTTAAGCCAATATTAATATTCATATACTGTTGATCTGTATTCTATTACTGTTCTAACAAAAATCGCTTTATAATGATAAACCTTTTCTTCAAATGGTTCGAAGATATAAATTTAGAAACCCCATATTGTGTAAAGGAGACGGGGATAATCTGTTCATGTGGAAAGCGATGAAGTTTCTATTTCTGATGCCTTCATTATACCGACTTGACTAACTTTATGATAGTGTTTTTCCAACAATGTTTTATTCACGTTGCATAAAGCGATACGGAATGTCATAGATAGCCAAAATGAAATGAGGTTTATCGTCCGACTTTTTTGAACCAACTGGGATAATGGAGACGGACTTACGCCATACAGTGTGCCATGGGTGCAATTTAGCCCGGACAGCATCGCTACGGTCTACTGTTATTACGAATTACAGCTGCTAAGGATTGTCTTACGATCCGAACGACTATGGCGGCAAATCACAGGGACGGAACTTCTAATGTCAGGTGACACCAAACGACGTCATAATGATGGTTGCTGAAATGAAATGGGTTTAACGTCCTACTATTCTGCTCCGAACTGGGCTAATAAAAAGACGGGCATACGCCATACTGTGTGCTATTAGGGAAATTTTGCCCGGACAACGGCACTTCGGCCTACTCTTATATTCAATTCTAACTGTCAAGGGATATTTTATGTGCACGCCAATGTGTAAACGAGACCTCGGTTTTTCGTACCATACGAAAGACTAGACAGCTGTCCTTGTCATGCCCGCCGTCCTCTATCACTGGAGAAATAAAGAAGATGGATTATACATTGTCTTCATTTACAAATTAAATGACTTAAAGTTATAAATTAGACGATAGCATGTTAGAATTTTGAATCTAAATACCGCCATAAGAGTGAGATCATTGGTGAATGCGTTATGTAATTGACTATTTATTGAGTATCATAGCAACCAACGTAAACAAACATTACTGAACTTGTGTGAGGCGAGATACGTTAAATATTAAAGATTATTGCAAATATAAATGAAAGATGGGGTTTGATGACCTAAGAGTTATAATTGACCGTCTATTCAGTTAACAGTCAATATAGACCATAACGACCGATATAAACAAACATGGCTGAACTCGTGTCAAGTGGATGTGGATATATTCAACACTAAAGATGTATCGGAAATATAAATTAAGTGGAGAATTGAATCAGTTACCTGTTCTACCACCTATAAAAATGGGATGTGATCCGTCAAATCACCTGGATCAGCATGTAAACAACAACCCCACGTTACAAAGGTAAACAGCATTAATATAAATAGGCTATAGCCAGGTACCATGTCCAAAGGCTGTGTAGTCGTACCTAGCTATACGTCGGCTACGGCATTGGTTGTCATGTCGACGGTTTCCATTATTGTAATTCACGTATTATTTTATATCGACGTGGTTGCCGCTACGTATAAATAAAATGAGCATACAATTACAGTCGTTTCTATAAATGGAAATAGGCCTAGTAACTAGTGAATACCCGTATGGAATACAGCCATTAAACAACCTTACACAGTGTATTATATTATGATAACGGAGTGATTTATAATAATCCGTTATAGTCTAATGCTAACATTGATCTTTTAATCGTATCAACGATTTGATATATATGTCGTGTGTGTGTAGGTGTTTTAACTCTATAGTCAACTACCTGTTGAATAGATATCTTTTTATAAACAGTTATGTCTGTAACTTGACTATACCTTAAAGCTACTAGGTTTTAATCTATCAATTACATGCATATTAAAGTAGCTAAGTCTCTAACACAAAATCATCAAAGTTCTTCGACATTTAAAACACAAATTATTTGTCAAATTAAATCAACATTGATGTTTTGATCTTACCGGGAATATGTAAGACAAAATAAACCTTTTACCATTTGTACAAGAATCGTGTACTATAATGCGTTTCAGTGTCATTTGTAACAAGGGACTCGAAGAACGAGGCTAGGCATATTCCAGAAGTCATGTCAATCGGTGACGTCATATTCTTATCTGGAGATCATACGCAATAAATACTATCGGTGTAGACTGGAATAACAAGACGCTAGAGATTGCCATTCGATCGAGATTTATGGCGTATTTCGTCGGATAACTGATTAGAAATTACAGTAAAAACAGAAATAATTGAATGCAAATCAGTTTATATACATTCATATTACATTATTATATGTGTTGCGACCCATATGTGTCAAATTCTCGATCCCAAATACAAGCGACTTAGCTCCTTTACATAAACATTGGTTTCAAGCCGGTTTACTTATAATTTAGATTTGGTTTCTATAGTAACTTAATGATGCATCAGTTCGTGCACCCCAAACCAACTTAATCATGACGGGACTAATAAAGTGTATATTGTAATTCATTTACTAAATGCCAGTAACACTAAACCCAAAGTAGAACGCCACGCATCAACGTAATTACAGTTTAATAATAGTCCAAATATTGTCTTCTGAAACGATGAACCAAGATTTTCGTTCTGTGGGCTCGGGAGTTTATCGGTGCTCACATAGCAAACATATTCTTCCTGTGTTTTTCTTGACGTGTAAAATGACAAGTAAAATGCCCGTCTTATTTTCTGTTTCAGTGAGCCCGACATCGACACGCCTGATAAAACAGCGACCAATCAGAAGTCAGTTCATGCGAAAAAAATAATATTAAAAGGGAATTTTAATGTAGACCTTCCCCCAACTGCTAAAATTGTTAGAATATTCACCAGTAGTACATTTACAGGTAGGTTGATAACTTCCGGTACTCTTGGTAAAATTCCTAAATGTAAATTCAAACTGATGCTCCAAGTAATATTCGTGACCTTCAATTTAAACGAAGTCCACAAAGTCCTCATAATATTCCACAAAGATCTTGGAAATCTTCAATCTAATCGAATTTCCAGAAAAGTCTCAATTTAGTTGGTCGGAATTCCCCAGAAATCCTCGTCGCTAATCTTCGTAAACTGGTGGCTGTCTTCTTAATTTCCTGTTTAAACTGCGTCTTCTGTAATCTTGGTTGACATGTATAGATACACTATTAAAGGTGCACCTGGCCTGTCTCAAGATGAACTGTATATTGATCACTACTATGGAGGTCGGTAATTTGGGGTCGGTAAATGGGTCGGTAATTTGCATCAATTCTAGTCTGGTCCTTTTGTTCATTCAGATACTAAACATGAGAGGAACTATTTAATGGAAAATACATATCCTAGATTAAAAGAGTTCTGTCAGAATGTAGGTTATGAGTTTCAAGTTGTTGATATGAGATGGGGAGTTAGAGATGAAGCCACGGATGATCACATGACCACAGAATTATGTTTAAAAGAAGTTGATCTCTGTAATAAATTATCAACTGGTCCTTCTTTTGTCGTAAGTAAATATCGTAATCCTCTACCTTAGCAAACACACTTCTGTTGAAATTATGGGAGATTTCAGCCCATTTCAATGTTCTATGGAATGGGTCAAGCAGTAAATCATGTATTATCATCCCAAGCAACTAAAGACCTCGACTCCCGTGAAGTTATGACCTGAGTAGTAACGAATCTCTAATAATTTTTATTCGGCCATAGACGAAACAGTGATAAAGTTCAGTTATTTTGAAGTTATGACCCGAGTAGTAGCGAATCTCTAATAATTTTGATTCGGCCATAGACGAAACAATGATAAAGTTCAGTTATTTCGTTGGCGTCTTTATAAACTTTTCCACCACAATCAATTTTCTTGGGATTAAATACTCCAAATTAAAATTATTAGGATTAAGTAGCGACGACGGAACGTGCCTGGTGCAAACACGCAGGGAGCCACGGCTTAATTTGTACGCCACTATTTTAAACTCAGTGCTTTTTTGCCATTTTGAAATCGTCTCATAAAAATATCCCACAAAAGAACAGCTTTCTACCTACAGGAAGGGTTGAAGTTAAACCAATACACACTTGGTATAGAAACTGACCTAAGTGATCAAACTTTTAGATGGTTATAACTTTGGCTAGAATAAACACACACGTGGTATAGGAACTGGCCTATTCATCTAACTTGTATATGATCATAACTCTGGCTAGAATAACTTTGACAGCGATTTAAACATTGTTAAATTATTGTTACATATATTTTTTCTTCTCTTTTTAGACATTTTTATCCCATAAATATGGGTATCGAGATTTTCCTAGAGAAATAGAAGCTAAAGAATTTCAACTACTACTGAGTAAAATAGAATCCAAAGAAAGTAAAAATCTGTTAAATAAGTAAGTGTCGAGTATTAATACAGCTAGGTCTCCATGATTATTGATTATAATCCCCGATATGAAGTTTTCGTAAGGTACTGAAATAAATCCCCAAGCCTTGTCACATAACTTTGCATAGATGTCAGACCTCAACGCAATAAGTAATAAACACGCCCAGTCAAATAAACAAACAAGTGGTATTGAACTCACAAATTTGCAAAGATGTCAGAAATCTATGAAAATAGAGAATCTCCTGCGGGTAAAGTAAAGTAAAGTAAAAAAAAAACCAACGAGCTATACAGACGTGCCATTATACCCCTTGCGTTATACAGACGTGCTGTTTTACCACTTGCGTAATACAAATATGCTGTTATACCACTTGCGTTATACAAACGCGCTAATACACCCTTCGAGTTATTTATTATACTCCTTCAGATATATAGCCGTTGACTATGTTGTGTTATAAACACGTGCCATTATATACATTATTATATTCCAGGTGGTTTATAAGAGATGATAATTATGTACCTCCTACCTATGTTCTACATCCAATCAGTTCACAGCTACCTGATTTTATATACATTATTATATTTCAGGTGGTTTATTAGAGATGATAATTCTGTACTACCTACCTACCTTCTACAACCAATCAGTTCACAGCTACCTGATTTTATATACATTGTTATATTTCAGGTGGTTTATAAGAGATGGTAATTCTGTACCACCTACCTACCTTCTACAACCAATCAGTTCACAGCTACCTGATTTTATATACATTGTTATATTTCAGGTGGTTTATAAGAGATGATAATTCTGTACCACCTACCTACCTTCTACAACCAATCAGTTCACAGCTACCTGATTTTATATCATCAGATGTTGACAAGAAGAAACACGCTAAAGACACGTGGAATAATCAACACGAACAAATGAGAGAAGCTCTGGTTACATCTGCTAAACAAGCTTTAGATACATCAACAGCTCACAAATATCTTAGATCAGGTATGACAATCACCTATCAGATACAAATATCTTAAATCAGGTATAAACACCACATATTAGATACAAATGTTTTAGATCAGGTATAAACACGTGATACATGGCTAAAAGCTCGTCGACTGATCATGTATATTTAATGAATTCAGTGAATAGAATGCATGTCTGTAAATGGTATTTTAAATAGACGGCTTCTCGTATTATCAGCACATATCATTTCTTCATTTCATTGTGAATTTTCATGTAATTCTAATTTTTACAGCAGAATAAAAAAATAAGCGGGATATAAAGGAATCCCGATTATCAAGTCGTATTATCCCTATTGTTTGGCGTTCGCCGTTCGCCGAATCCCGATTATCAAGTCGCATTATCCCTAATTTTTGGCGTTCGCCGTTATTGGGAGAATCATCGGTCCCAGACAGCCTACAAAACCTACTGCAACTGATCCAGACCACCCCCAGTACAGATAAATGTCAATAGATATCTCAGTCTATAATTACTTAGATAAAAATCACGATAAATCACGAGGAAATATACAATATGTCAGATGACGTAACACGCTCGCAAAGTTTCCTCAATACTTTACTCCACAAGTAACAGACGAGCTTCTATAGTTGTCGTATTAAGATAATCTTGTCGTCTTGTAGAAAAAGCTAGTACTCGTTGTAGCTTAGCAACTAACGATATTAACTAAAAGATCATTTAAAAAATCTACCATTGAAATCGTAAATTTTGTTACAGTAACAGACGCTGAGATAGACCGGGGTATACTGAATGACAGTCAGAGAGCATTCTGGTTTGATCGTCAAATACAAGATATAGACAAACAAGAAGCCAGCTATATATTTAGTCGTTATAAAGGTTTATACCTATATATTTATTTATTTTATTTTATTATTTATATGTTATATATCTAGTTGACATTTTATCTACAGTTTTCGTTATAAAGGTTTATACATTATCGTAATATTTATTTTATTTTATTGTTATATATCTATTTGTCATTTTATGTGTACAGTTTTCAATTCATACGATCATATTGTCTTTAAATAGATCATGAACTACGACTATATGATGTTATAACTGAAATATATCATATGTTTACACTTGCTGTGAGATTGGCTTCTGGACACAATAGTCATTAACGTGCATCACAGCAAACCGCATAGTTTAACTAATGTGTTGTGTGATCAAGGGTGCAGGTAACGCCCACCATTACAAAACACTTAGTAGTTTCAACTTATGATATACAATTCCATTTTAGCTAGGAATAATGATATGGTTATGGACCCGTGTTGTCCTAGATATTTCCGATTAGGAATCACGCTAGCATCAGCGTGGGGTGTACAGACTATAATAAATGTCCATCGTCATTAGCTCAGCCCAAGCCGTACAGCAAGAAGTTTTACGCCATTGCATTTAATCTTATAATAAATTACTAATCTCGATTTTCTGTTTCAGAATGCTATGGAAAAAAAGAATATTTAGATGAATCGCGGGAACTTTTAGAAAATTTACGAAATAATAAATTAAAGCGTAAACTACCAGTGGATCATATCAAGAAATATACAATAGATTGGACAGAACATGGTAAGATGGAGATCTTGGACGTTGGTCTAATTTAATTTTAATTATCCGTGTGTATGATAGTAAACCCTGGATTTCTATATTATGGACTGACAAAAAGTCACCAACATTATATTCTTTATTCATAACCTCGACTGTCTATTAAACCTTGACATCCTATAGACAGCTCGTCATGTATCTAAAACTAACTGAAAGAACCCCAACATCATTTATCTAAATGACTAAGAAACATCATACACTCAAGAGTCCAGCATCTACCCAAAACCAACTAAATAACCTCCAGCGACTGACATCCTCTACCCATAAAGTGTTATTTAACTATTATTTTCCATTTAACAGATTATGGAATCGGTATTCCCTCTGGGTTGGCACAACGCATATTGTCAGTATAACTTATATTGTAGGTGTTGATATATCTATAACTTCTATGGTAGGTGTTGATATATCTATAACTTCTATTGTAGGTGTTCGTACAACTATAACTTCTATTGTAGGTGTTGATATATCTATAACTTCTATTGTAGGTGTTGATCCAACTAAAGAGGAAAGTCATAGATTGTATATCAGTAAATTAGCTGATGATTTTGAGAAAAGTATAAAAGATGGTATACAGAGAGCTATACAAGAAAAACAATCTAATATATTAAATAATACAATCTGCCAGGAAGTTATACAACACATCAACTTCTGTAAAAATAAATGTCATTCATTTTATGGTAGAAAAGATACTTTTGAAGTGAGTTGATATTTATTTGTATAGTCTATTACCCAATGACCTGTTGATGTCATAGCTAAACTCATTGGCCGTTACCTACAGCCCTTTTAAGATCGTACTAAATTCATTGTCCATTACCCTATAGCCTATTAAGATCGCGCTTAAACTCATAGCCCATTACCCTATATTATAGCCTATTGAGGTGGTACTAAACTCATGGTCCATTACCCTACAGCCTATTAAGATTGCGGCTAAACTCATTGTCCATTACCTTATATTATAGCCTATAGAGGTGGTACTAAACTCATAGACCATTACCCGATAGCCTATTAAGATTGCGGCTAAACTCATTGTCCATTACCTTATATTATAGCCTATAGAGGTGGTACTAAACTCATAGACCATTACCCGATAGCCTATTAAGATCGCGTCTAAACTCGTCGTCCATTACCCTATAGCCTATTAAGATCATGACTAAATTCATTGTCCATTACCCAATGGTCTATTGAGGTCGTACTAAACTTATAGTCCATTACTCTATACTATAGCCTATTAAGATCATTGCTAAACTCATTGTCCATTACCCTATACTGCAGTGTATTGAGATCGTACTAAACTCATAGTCCATTATCCTATTATATAGCCTAAGATAGCGAAGGTGACAATGGTCATATAAGAAATCAAGGGTCATATAAGAAATCAAGGGTCATATAACATAGGTAAGGTGACAGTGGTCATACAAGGTCAAGATCCTACAAATATTTTGTTAGTTTAATTGATGCGAGTCGATCGGTGTATCGGCTGATTGAACTAAGGGTATAATTCCAGTTACAGTCACGGTGTATAATGATAATTGTCTAACAGTGTATTGTGACAATACCTGTCTGTTAAATATGATCGAACATTATTGGTGTGTTATTCTATGCAGGCACTACCTTTCAATCACATTAATACGTGTACAATGATGACAGGTTAAATATTTTGAATTTATAGACAGTAAATAATCCGATGTTTGTATTACAGATTATAGAGGATTATCTGATGAACAACAGTGACGAACCCCTGGTAATACACGGTTCATCTGGTTGTGGTAAAACATCTATTGTTGCCATGGCAGCTAAACATACATTTGACAAGGAAAAGGAAAAAGAAACCACAATAGTTATACGGTATGATATATATTATAAGTTTGCTGTTTAGATTATATTGATAAAATTTGAACATATTTAGCTACGCAATTTTGATTCTCTTGCGTTTTTTTTATCTCATATAATCTGTTACTATATTTAACAAAAATGAAAATATGGATGATGGTTGCTCTGATCATCTTTCAGAAATATTTTAAATAAAAACTCATGTTAAACGTTCTATTATATAGGTTAAAACCTAAATACATGTTAACCCACACTTGAAACTTAAACATACATAAAGTAAGAGCTAAACTTGCCTGTTGCAGGGGTTTCTTTAGACCTGAAATGTTATATGAACTATTACATATACATTTATTAATATATAAAAAAAACCATAATAAACCCTCGATGGCATCTTATGGGCCGAATTTTTATTACGTTCGAATCCAACGCCCATTGACAATACTCCGCCAAAATGCATAATCGAGACTTTGTGTATTATCGTAACAGCAGGAAAATAAAGTAATTGGATTAAAATTTTCAACATTTAGCATTTCCCCTTTACATTATCTTTTTGTTAATTGTTATAGCTAGAAATGGTCAGCTCCTTATTTAATCTTCCATAATGTATCTTTAAGAAATTGTTAAAATACAGTTCATGCTATAGTATCAATATAAGCGTTAATAAATAGCTGAAACATATCCCATTCTACAGTAACAGTAAATCAGCTTTAATAATTACATAGCTAAAACATAGCTCATTCTTCAATATCAGTATATTATAAGCTCAGGCTTAAGACTTCTAAACGATGTGTTGTCATCTTAAATATCACGTCTAGAGAATGCTACTAGGCCGAAGGTTACCGGCCGCACCAACGAAAGATGATACCGATTCTTGGACGTCCTGGATTTAAAGAGAGAGAGAGAGAGGGAGAGAGAGAGAGAGATAATGACACAAACTAAATCATTTCGGAACTAACATATCTAACACATGGTTCAATCTTATCTCAATAATTCGCTTGTGCGTAGTGGGGAAACCGGAGGACCCGGTGAATACCAACGAAGATTGAACAGGAGACCCTACTCCTTTTCGCTTTTTCCTGAATTTAAAGCAAACAACACCCAGAGAATTGGATTAAACATGAGCTTTCAACTATTCTTAATTGTAATAAAATAAATTCCAGATATTATGTATTTAATAAGCTACTTTGGTAAATCTTCTAGTAAAATAGCTTCATGCTGTGGGGAGGGTTTATCTTATTATAGTAGACGAGATTATAGGATAGTACATACCTGTTACACCTATACCTGTAACTCCCAATACACCTATGCCTGTAACTCCCAATTCTATTATTTAGATTTCTGGGAACGACTCCTGATAGTTCCAACATCAGTGCCTTGTTATACAGTGTTATTAGTCAGATTAAACTAGTTTATGAAGAAGAACCTATTAAAGAAGGATTGGTGAGTAACAGTTTATAAGAACCTATTAAACAGGGATTGATGGGTAGAGGTATATTCACTGTTAAAATTATTATGTTTAACCTTAATTTAACCATGTTTAACTGGTAGAAATATTGTGTGTTGTTTCATAGGTTGTAATGTGCATGTAACTATATCTCTAACTATTATACAAACAAGGTAAAATAAGTTGCCTCATTAAATAAAGGGCCATTGAACGGCTTGGTCACCAGATAGTACAGGCGAAAGAGTTTCAAAGTGAAACCGCAAGCAAACAAAATCGAAATACAAAAATCGGTTTGTTAAGAATTGCTGGCAGGTGAAGTAGGTTCAAATCTAAAAATAATTGCGAAAATCGGAATCAAAATGGCTTTTAAATATCGATTTGAAGGTTGTTTTGTAAAATCAAATATGGCGGCCAAACGATTGAAAATGTTATGGAACAAGGTGTGTGGAAATAAAAGATAACATCGGGGGCTAACACCACCATATGTAATTTTTAGTCTATTTTTAAAATGGAGAGAACTATATATCTGTTTAGGGATAATTTTTTTGTTTACTATAATTATATATAGGTTAGTAATTCGGCAACCATTTAGCCGAATCACACCAGTACTCCATCGGAGTTCTAGCTTGTTTTTCTTTTATTCCAGAGTCTAAAAGTTTTAACTAAGGAATTTCATCTAAGTTTAGAACATGCAGGGGAACATCGACCATTGGTTGTATTACTAGATTCTTTAGATCAGTTGGAAACTACAGGTGGCGCCCATGAGTTGTCATGGTTACCGCGTAAATTACCTGAGTATGTTAAGATGATCGTGTCCACTCTACCGGAAGCTAAATATGGATGTTTTTCTAAACTCCAGGTATCGTAATCAAACTTCATTCCAGATGATCTTCCAGTAGGCCTTGGTTAATTAGTCTCGATCTAGAATCCATACCAACTCCGAAAATAATAATATCGTGGATAGGAAAGTTTAACTCTGTTATGAAATTGTTCCTCAAATCATTCCCCAAATTATACGTAATAAAAAGAGATAATTAAAACTGAAAGCGAAGATATGGTTGATGCTTATAATACTAGAAGAGTATACATACTTCTGTTGGGATAATAATAATAATATTCCATAGTAGAACGATAAACTGTACAGTTAAACACAGCCAGGGATTCATATCCTGAGATGAGCTAAGAACATCACTGTTAGATTGTTAGCTATTGGAAAGACTCAAGCCCACTATCATAACGCACTCGTTACATGTATAAACAACACAGTACCTTTCTTTTGTAGGCGATGTTTTCGACAACATCATGTTTTCTACCAGTAGAAACTTTATCTAATGATGACGTTGAGGGAATTCTCCATAAATGGCTGGAGACCAACCAAAGAAAACTCCTGGATTCACAGCTAAAAATAATTCTGGACGCTTTTCATCAGTGTCCATTACCATTATTTCTAAAACTATCATTTGACGTGGCGTGTCGATGGAAATCATTTACTCCACCAAGTGTATCAACCCTACAGACAACAGTCCGTAATGTGATCAATGATTTATTTACTAGAGTTGAATCGCTACATGGACAATTACTTGTATCTCGAGCACTGGGCTATCTTACTTTAAGTAAGTACATAGAGAATTACTTGTATCACGATCACTGGGCTATCTTACTATAAGTAAGTGGATGAACTTGTATCTGGAGCACTGGGCTATCATACTTTAAGTAAGTTCAGTTATTTACTTTTATCTCGATCATTATTCATTTTCATTCATCCCGCATGCTTGTATCTAACGTCATTAATTGTTATTCCACCTGCATGATTGGATCTAACGTCACTAATTGTCATTCCTCTAATATGCTTGTGCCAACTTCTATTCAATTCTTTCTCCAAGCATGCCTGTGCCTACCTTCCTACATTTTCCTTCTTCTGCCATATTAACTCAATGAATTTTATTTTCTTCAAAAATCTTTGAAAGTAATGTATACTCTTCACAAAAAGTAGGGGATATTCAGATGCAACTAACTATGCAGGTTCTGATATGATAAATAGTCATGGACACTTGACATGCGTTGAGAGTATGTTCACAGATGAAAACTTATCGCCCTAATAGAACCACCGGGCTGCACATGCGACACGCAGTAGCGCCATACACGTGGAGGGGGTTCATTGTCAAATTTGACACTTCAAGGAAGGGTTGATGAAAACTGCCGCGTGCTGGTTTATCCTATCCATGTTTGATTTCCTATCGGTTCTTGCATAAAATTTACTGTTTAGCATATCTTTGCTTTAGTGTGTTACGTTTAATTTGCAACGAGACGTCTTCAACATGATGAATGCCTACTTGCTATTGGCATGCTTCAAATGGGTTCTACACTGCGAGCAGTAGCCAACATACGTAATGTGTCACAATCTGTGTGATCAGCCGACTGTGGAACCGGTACCAACAAACACACAATGCTGATGATAGACCTCGTTCAGGTCGTCCTAGAGCCACTACACAACCCCAGGATCGATAAAAACGGCCAATCAGCTTTTTGTAAATGTAAACTTGTACCAAGTTACAGGAATTCGAGTTACACTCCAAACGATTAGAAATCGGCTACATGCATCCCATTTGCATGCGCGACGACCGCGTGTCGTGCCTCTATTAACTCGCCAGCATATGACAAACAATCGTCAATGGTGTGGGCAGCGTAGAAATTGGGGTAATCGTCGATAGGCGCGTGTAATGTTCTCAGATGAGTCCAGATTTACTCTCGATTCACCGATAGGCGTGCTTGCGTTTGGAGGCGTGTAAATGAGCGTCATGCTAACGTTAACGTCAGACAGCATGAGAGATTAGGGCGTGAGTCTGTTTGGTGTGTTATGGAATCACCATGACTGGTAGAGCGGACTTGCATATTGTTCAAGGAAGGGTCACTGGTGTGTACTACCGTGACCACATCCTGGCACCGATAGTTCTGCCCTTTGCTCAACGTACAGGCCCCAAGTTCACAAAGCATTCCCAGGCTTAAGTTAAGAATTTACTTAAAATTGTTCGCCTTATTTTAACTAAAATATAGCCCTTTACAAAACTTGTGTTGTTTTTATGTATCAAATACATCAATAAGAAACTATGTACAAAGTTGTGTGTTTCTGGATCAAAGATATTTCTCACAAACAGTGATTGAAAGTTGAGTAAATTCTTAACTTGAATCTGAGAATGCTTTGTGAACTTAGGGCCAGGTCGACGTTTCATCTTTCAAGATGACAATGCCCGTTCCCACCGCGCTCGTGTCGTTAAAGGCTACCTCCAGCGTCATCATATTGTCCATATAATATGGCCAGCCATGAGTCCTGACCTTTCGCCTATAGAGCAAGTCTGGGACATGATCGAGAGACGTGTTCGTTGACGTCAACGTCAACCAACAACACTGCAAGAATTGGCCGTCGCACTACAACAGGAGTGGGTCAGATTTCCCCAAATCGTGATTGGACGGTTGATTAGGAGCATGCTACGACGAATTGCTGAATGTCTGAGGATTGGTGGAGCAATTACTCATTATTAAGACAAAAATCAACTACGCCAATTTTCACTTTTGCCAGCGTATCTCTTTGCGAGTGAAATGGGACCGCCAGATAAGCCTCCCATATGAACTGTTTATGTTCATGTGTAGGCAATTGGCCTGTTATTAACATACACTGGTTACCTCTAATAAAAACAGCATTGCATGTCCGCAGTTTTGTATTGTTTCTGAATATCGCCTACTTTTTTTTAAGAGTATATTATGTAACTAAAATTTACTTTCAGGTGGTGGTGGTGGTCTGTCAGAGGCTGAATTAGAACATATTCTGTCATGTGATGATGACGTATTAAATGACGTATATATGTACTGGACACCACCGATACGACGCTTACCTCCCTTATTGCTCGTCAGAATTAAAACTGAATTGGGCCAGTATTTTGGTAGGTATTTATATTTGTCTTGTTTATGAAGATGTCAAACAATTAATTCCAAAATGCAATGTTTACTTTTAAATTGCCCTCTCTGTGTAGTTGATAGAGGTGGACCGTGCAATGTTTACTTTTGCAATGTTTACTTTTAAATTGCCTTCTCTGTGTAGTTGATCGAGGTGGACCGTGCTGATGGAGTTCGGGTGTTTTATTTATTTACTCAATATTTATTTCATTTAATTAAGTTGATAGAGGTGCTGATGGAGTTCGGGTGTTTTATTGGTTTCATCGTCAGTTCATAGAAGCTGCTACTGAAAGATATTGTTCAGATGTTAATATTAAACTAAAGATGTGTGGCGCCATAGCTGATTTCTTTTCTGGTATCTGGGCAAATGGTGAGTACATGCAGTAGTATATAGGACACTCGTGGATACTTTTTGATATGCTTCGTGGAGTAGATTGACCTTCTGGTCCACATGCAAAAATAACCGTGGTTGACCTTTTGACCCAACGAATGATTTTCTTGTTGACCTTAGGAAAGAGTGACTTGTTGATCTTATGAACGATTGACTTGTTGACCTTATGAACACTTGACTTGTTGACCTTATGAACGATTGACTTGTTGACCTTATGACCTTATGACCTATATACTACAAATAACCCATGGACCGATATCCTGGATATTATTGATTGTATGGCCGTAGCAGTCACATGGGATACGCGCGGTGACGTTGGTTGATCTAATTTGTTGATGGGGCGTAAATAGCGGAAACCATCCGCGTCTCCGTTTGGCCGTATGGTCATCAAAGCTTTTTTTCTCCTAAATATTTGTTCCCCAAATAAGTTATTTGATGTATGATCAAATCACGTGAAATCAAATATTATTTTTGAGAGAGACTTCAAAAGATTTTTATAAATGTATTTCAGGTAAAGGTAAACCATTTAAAACTAAAAGTGGTGAATCATCAGAAGCAGATCGTTATGTGACGTCACAGCCTGTTAAACTAGGAGAATTGTATAATTTAAGGAAATTAAACAATCTACCACATCACAGACAACAAGCTTACCAACTAGATCTATTAAAATCAGAATGTCTGTGTAACTTTTACTTTATACTTCATAAAATAAAAGCATTAGGTTTAAGGTAAGCAAAACGATTTAACCTTGTATTTGGCTATGTAGCCTATCCTCTGTCTAGAGGGGGGGGGGGTCGATTACCCGGTTGTACGTGACAAGGAGTAGAGTTGCCTATCCAGCCTCGTGGTTTTCTCCGAGTCCCCCGGTTTCTTCCCACTGCTAAAGACCCCTACGCACAAGCGAATTATTGAAGTAAAATTGAACCATGTGTTAGTCCCGAAGTGGCCTAGTTTCTGCCTTTTTGACGTTAAACCCCATTTTTTATTATGTAAAATAATGGAAGTGACAACATGTATACATATAAAACTGCCGAGAATATAGTCAAAGGGTAAGACATATTAAACTGTATGGGATATTTTATCAAGATCATGATAGACATGCTGATTGCAACATATTATGGACCATATTACACCTTTGTCATAGGTTGTTTAATATTTGTAGAAATGTCAGAATTCTTCTATTTATATTGTGAAACATGCACCACCCCATGTCACAATAACACATGTATTCACTTGGAAACGTTTTTGTTAACTTCAGGCCTGTGTTGGATGATTTCTCGTCAGCTAAAGAACAGTTTGTTGATGATGAAGATATTAAATCTATCTGTGATGCCTTAGAGTTATCACAACGTTCAGTCCAATATAATTCAAACGAACTACCATCACAATTACTGGGACGTTTAAAACCTACCGAGGTATGAACTGACCTTTACATTCGCTTTCACAAAGCTTTGATATATCCCATTTAAGTAGCTGGCGGACAAATAGCTACTTGTTTTAGAAAGTCTCCGACCAATAGCTTCCCGATTTTATTATCTCCATGAATTAGTGGCTCCCCGTTTTTTACTTCCTCGACCGTTTCAGATACGTTCAAACTAGTAGCTTCATGTTTCAATATCTCTCCGATCAATAGCCACCCGACCACTAACTTTCCGTTTTAGTATTTCTCAGATCACCGAGAAAGTACTTACCTTATTATCGCACTGACCAATAGCCCACAGTTTCAGATTTGTTCTGGTCAATATGTCTCAGTTTAATAGACTTCCGACCACTAGCTGTCAGTTTTAGTCTCCCCGAAGAATCGTTTTATTAATTTATGTAAACCGAGCATCATGAATATATTATTGTATCTTTGTTTTGTTTATAGAGTCTACGGCCTCTATTAGATGATTGTAAGAATTCCCCATTCTACTATTTACTACCAGATAAAACTATATTAGCACAGCCTGGTGGATCTTTATTATATTGTTTATCAAATCATACTGGTGATATACAGGGTCTGGATATAACTAAAGATGGTGAATTAGCTGTAACATGTAAGAGACATAACGTTTTGACACCGGAATCTTTGGGTTCAGACCAGTAACTGTTGAAATAAAATGAAATGGGTTTTAGCGTCGTACTATTCTGCTCCGACAGGCTTAATGAAGTGTGCTATGAGGGAAATTTTGCCCGGACAGCGACGCCACGGCCTATTTTTTCTGTATCGAATTCCATCTGTCAAGAGATATTTTATGTGCACGCCAAAGTGTACACGGCACCCTGTTTTTCCGTCTCATCTGAACGACTAGACAGCTCGCCTTGTCACGCCCTCCATCCTACGCCACTGACAAGGGGAATCCACACCGGGAAATCCCGGTGACCTTTATCGGCTATCACCGGGAGCACCAGTAACTGTTTTGTTACTATGTACGTTAAAGATATTTACTTTCCACCAAGAGCCGCTGGTATCCACGATTATCTGATAAATTTAGAATCATGAATATTCACATAAAAACCATCACATCAGATGGTTTCTACATAGCCATTTTTTTTAATATATATATATATATATTGTTTATAAAAAAAAGATGGCGACGTAAGTTCAAGGGACGATTATAAACTTCAAATGAACATACCTTTTGTTATTATCGGTGTGTGTTTTGTCATATTCATTTTTTAGCGCATTATGTGCAGTCTCACACAGTTAAATTAATCTTGTTAGAGATTAATGGTTCCGTTAAAGTAATAATAATAATAATAATAATAATAATGATTATAATAATATTTATATGAAATATCAATACAATGAAAACACGTATATAATCAATACCAACTCTGTTTAAACTTATGTAATTGTATTTATAGGTTCCACAGATAGAACAATAAAAACCTGGTCAGTGAAGTCGGGTAAACTAGTACGATCATATGACATCGGGTTTGAAAACCTAGAATATGTCAAGCTCTGTCATAATGACCAGATTATTGTGGTTTCCGGACGGGAGTTACTTGTAGGTGTTGACTTTTTGACTGGAGTTAATTTGTATAAGATAGAGAATGAATCTGAAACTGTGATCTGTGCAGCAGGTAAAGATAAAGATGTGCTGGGGATATTTCAGCAGAATGGTGTAACACTATACAGTGCTTTAACGGGAGAATTACAATCACATACTAAATGTCAGTTTCTGGAGGAAAAGATGAGCTGTGTAGAAGAAGAGGTCGATATTGAAGTTGCCTATTGTACTAGTGAGTATATTAATCTATTTGTAAACTCTGGCAAACAATGTCCATTGCTTTGGATGTTTTGAATATCTTCGTGACAGCACAGGTTACGATCCTCGTTTCCTAATGTACATATTTGTCTGAAGACGTCTCCTAGTGAATAACACTGGATGAATTTTAAAATAGAAAAGTGGATTCTACTATAAATATGTAGCTTTTTGATAATATCTCAGGGAAATACACACGTCAGCTGTAACTGGCATCTCTTGATGTTACTGTTGACTCATGTATATTTAATTTTTTTGAGTTGTGTTTGAATACGTGGAATGTGTGTTATTACAGGTCAAGGTCGGTATATGGCTTGGGTATTCAAGAGAAAACTGAATAACCGTGTAGACGCTTTAGCCATATTTGATATTATTGAAAGGAAGTTTCTAAATGTTACAGTGGAGCCATTATCAGACAAACTGGTTATCTCACCAGATGAAACAAATATCGTTATATGTAATGATGATGACGAAGCTGTTATATATGATATTCAAACAATGAACGAAATACGTCGTGTCCAAATTACCCGTGGTAAGTATTATACCCCTATTATGAGATTTATACAGAAAACAATAATTTCTATGGAATATAAATTATCACCCCTGCTCAAAAAATATCTTAAAAAATACATACATTAATGGGTAGGGTTACTACAACTTCTGAAAGGGGCCCCGAGTTGAAACATCAACATTTGTAAAATACCCCCTTCTCCTCCAAACCCTAGTTGAATGTTTACAAAAAGCATTTTTTATGTAATGCGTGTTTCGTTGTACCTGTAATATTGATGTAAAAAATAGAAATATTCAAAGTAATTATATATTTTTTACCTTATGTTTTTAGTGCCTTATGGAAGATATGTTCAGATTACTCCTAACGGTAAATATCTGTATTGGGCTTATTTCTATGACGTGGTGGCTTGTAATCTAGAAACAGGGGAGATGTTTGTTGCTGTTCACCATCCGTCATCTGTTAAATTTGTTATTACTCTAGATATGAACAGTATAGTGACTGTTGGAAAAGATCAGATTGTTAGAATCTGGGATCAAAGCAAGGATAACAGTGTTATCAACCAAGAGGCTCAGCAAAAGCAGGAGGAGTCACGGTGGCTAAGTGGGTAAGAGGCTGGCTCGCTAGTCAGGAAGTCGCGTGTACGATTCCTGCATTGACCGAGAAAGTTCAGTCGAATTTTCCAAGGTGGTTTCCCCTTGTCAGTGGTACAGGACGGGGTGGGGGGCTGATACGGACAGCTGTCTAGTCGTTCGGATCGGACGAAAAATCGATGTCCCGTGTATACATTGCATTTGGCGTGCACGTAAAAGATTCCTTTTCAGTTGGAATTCGGTATAAGTGTAGGCCATATTGGCAATAGTGGGCAAACTTTCCCTCATAGGACACTGTATGGTGTATGTCCGTCTTCATTAGCCCAAAGGGGAATTGGATATAGGGTAATTGACATATTCTGAAACAAGACATCTCCTGTGATAAATTAACGTAGCTTAAAGTGATGGAAGATGTAGTGTTGATGCAACAACGGTACTGGACAAACGAGACTAAGTGCCAATCATCCATTTTATTGTTAGAAATTTTTATATATCTACGGCGTCCTTGTTAATCTAAATATCTGCTAACTGATGACTAGAGAGTTGATTATACGCTTGTCATGTTAACAAATTTTTAAATAATAGTTTATATAACGATTTAAGACAACGTTAAAGTAGCTAAGTCTCTAACTCAATATTTAAAGTCTTACATGTTGAAAATACGAATTATTTGTCAATTCAAATCAACATTGACGCCATGATCTTACCGGGAAAAGGTAGGCTTCTGATATCCAATATTTAAGACAAAATAAAAATGTTACCATTGGTACACGAATCGTGTACCATAGTGCGTTTCCGCGTCATTTGTAACAAGTGACCAGAAAGGCTAGGCATAGTCCACAACTCATGTCAAACGGTGACGCCAAATCTTATCTGGAGAGCATGCGCAATAAACTGGAATAACCAGACGCTAGAAATTGCTATTCGCTTGACACTCATGCCGTACTTTGCTGGATATAACTGATTTGAAATTAGAGTCCAAACGGGAACAATTGAAGGTAAATCAGTTTATATACAATCCGATTACTTTATTATATGCGTTGCGACCCATTTGGGTCAATTTCTAAGTCCCAAATATTAGCGATTTAGCCCCTTTAAGACTTGCGATAGGCATATTGAACTTTTACGCAATGCATCTTTAACGTCGTTCGAATTGAACAATCAGTTTATTTGGGGACTAACATATATATATTGGTCAGAGTTCTTCAGTTATGTGACATCACTCACGCAGTCTCAGTAACACTTTCTTATTTATCACTTAGTTCAACGGTCTTAGTCTGGATTTTTGTTTTGTATATTTTTCATAGTATGTAATTATATGTTTCAGTTTAACTGTGTTGAGTGACAACCCTCGGTATATCATCATCATATATGAACAGAACGATTCCTACTATTTCCAGATCTACGATCTCGCCACAAATATGGTGGTTAAAAACACGAAGGTTTCGTTTTTTGTTTATTCATGGGTTTAACGTCTATTCGTCACAAACTAGGTCATGTCTGGGCTAACATGGTTCTAGTTCATTTCATCTCAATAGTAATTACAGGAGAACCGCACGACACACACAACAAAAATCTACAAGAAAATAGACATGAATCAGGGGGCCAGTCGTAAGCGTCCACTCCAAGAAGGATCTTTAGCAGTTTAAGGCAACCAGAGAACCAAGAGGAAACCGAGGAGCTTGGGCAGATGACCATATTCCTTGCCACGTACAATTGAGGAATGGGAACCACGCCACTTGATCTAAAGCGTGTCGACCGCGTCTCTAAATGTGTAGTGCATCTCCCGTCTCTATCTGTGTAGGACGTCCCCTATTTATAACTGTGTAGGACGCCTCCCGTCTCAAATCATGTAGATCGCCTCCCGTCTCTAATCATGTGGGACAGTTCTCCATCGTTATTGTGCATGGCTCGCTACGTCCCTGAACATGTAGGGCGTACCACGTCCATACCTGTGTAGAACGTCTCCCATCCTTGCCACGTACAATTGAGGAATGGGAACCACGCCACTTGATCTAAAGCGTGTCGACCGCGTCTCTAAATGTGTAGTGCATCTCCCGTCTCTATCTGTGTAGGACGTCCCCTATTTATAACTGTGTAGGACGCCTCCCGTCTCAAATCATGTAGATCGCCTCCCGTCTCTAATCATGTGGGACAGTTCTCCATCGTTATTTTGCATGGCTCGCTACGTCCCTGAACATGTAGGGCGTACCACGTCCATACCTGTGTAGAACGTCTCCCATCCTTGCCACGTACAATTGAGGAATGGGAACCACGCCACTTGATCTAAAGCGTGTCGACCGCGTCTCTAAATGTGTAGTGCATCTCCCGTCTCTATCTGTGTAGGACGTCCCCTATTTATAACTGTGTAGGACGCCTCCCGTCTCAAATCATGTAGATCGCCTCCCGTCTCTAATCATGTGGGACAGTTCCCCATCGTTATTGTGCATGGCTCGCTACGTCCCTGAACATGTAGGGCGTACCACGTCCATACCTGTGTAGAACGTCTCCCATCTTTAGCCGTTAGGATGTGCCCACTGTCCCTTATCAATGTAGGGCATTCCCTCGGCTCTAGTTGTGTGTGTATCAATTAGTGCACCCAACCCTCTCGTCTCTAATCGTGTTGGACATTCCCGACTCTAATCGTGTAGGGGTTTCCCCTCGTCCATAGCTGTGTAGGGCGTTTCCTGTTCGTCCCTAATCATGTCGGGGTTAATACATCCCTTATCATGGAGAGCGTTACCAATAATCCAATTGTTTAATGTAGAACATTACCGTCTCTTACCGGGTGGGTTGTTCCACGTTCCTGATCATTCAGGACGTCCAGGACATAACCGTTTCAAGAATAGGACGTATAACATAGTTTACCCTGTCAACTATAAACCCGACAAAATTTTCAAATATTTTCTTTAAGAAGGACGATCCATGACATATTGGTAACTCATGTATTCTGGTGATAATATATATTTTTATTTTGTACAGTTTGTGACAAAAATCAACTTTGTATTACCTGTGGATGATACACAATGTCTGATTCAACATGGTAAGAAGATATCCCTGTTGGATCTACAAACATCATCTATAATACGAACATACCAAGGTCAAGCACCTACAGATCCTGTTATAAATTCACCAAAAACAGGTCAGTACGAAGCGTGTCGTTCTTCGAGTTCAATAGCTTGTGGTCGTTGTTTTGATCCCTGGTGTGAGAACTACGAACCACACGCTAGCTTCACGTTGTGACATGATGTGTAGGCTTCTGGTTTTAAACAGAGTTCAACAAGTTGTGACAGGTTTTCTTAATACATGTGTCTTTTGGATTTTTATTTATACAATTGTAATTGTGAATACACGTGTTCATCTTGAAGAATTTAACCAATAGTCACGTGACTGTGTATATAATTGTTGTTTATTTATAGAGTTTTACACCTATCACGTGACTATTTGTGTATTTATAGAATTTTACACCCTATCACGTGGAAGAATGAATATAAAGAAATATAATATAGAAACTGGTGTTTGTGAGATTATCAAAGGCTGCGGTGAAAGGCTCGGAGATTACATAGTGAGTATTGAATTATATAGTAAGTAGTAAGGTAAGTCGTCACTTTTTAAAGGACCTAAATCTCTACTATTCTTTGGAACCTTGATGAAAATGGTTTAATTTGATTTACATTAATTTTCAAATCAGTTTTGTTTGTCGAAATATCTGAACATTCCAAATTGAATGTTTGGGACACCCGTCTGGTTAGTCCAGTCTAATGTCGTGTTTAGTCTCATTCATCAAGACGTCCCACTACACTTGAGAACAAAAGGTAGACCGCGGCGTGTACAAGTTTTAAAATCGTTCACTATGGTTTAAAGCTGAACTCCGGTTACAAAAATACCGAAATAATTAAATAAAAAAAAGTTAACGCCCCCAAGCCGCCATACTTGTTTCCAATTTATGAAATAAATATGGCGGACATGGAGGCTTATGACCTGGAAAGGTTAGCCGATCTCACTTCCAGTTTGTTTCTTGTCAGCCAGCTGTACACAATAGTGTGTGTAGGTGACTTGTTTTGGTTGAAAATTTCAGGTTGGGGTAACCATCTTTTTGCATCTTTTGCTTTAGAGTAAAGCTTAGGCTATATTGTAGTAGATGCAGTTCGTATAATTATTTACAGACTTACCTGATCAAACATTTTGCAATCTTCAATAATTTGGTATACTCTTGGGAAAATATAGTCATAGAGCAATCGGTGAAGCGTGTGTAGAGAATAAAACCGGATGTGTACTGGAAGTGAGATCGGCTAACCTTTCCAGGTCATAAGCCTCCATGTCTGCCATATTTATTTCATAAATTGGAAACAAGTATGATGGCTTGGGGGCGTTAACTTTTTTTATTTGATTATTTCGGTATTTTTGTAACCGGAGTTCAGCTTTAAGTATCGGCTATTAGGAGCCAATATTCGTTTATTACGATACAAGAACCATTACGGATACTTGTTGACGTAAGGACGCAAATCTTTTTCTGTTGTATATTCAGGTAAATAAAATTTGTACTGTTCTGGCCGCGTCCATGCATGACGATGAGTGGGTGGTTTTCTTTGATCTTGTCAACAAGCGAGTGATGTATCAATTGACACCAGAGATGATAGAGGGAGATGATGAAAATGAATCTATATGTTTAAATGATGGTGGTCTGGTTACTGACGATGGTCGTTATTTCATATTTTCCCATATGCTTGTACCACCAGATCTTACAGATGTAGAAGATGCAGAACCCATTGAACTGGTTGTGATGTGGAATATACCAGACAGTAAGTAAATTGTTTTACATTCAAGGAACAGTGGTGGTTGGTTGAGAAAGGCTCTAGACTACATCCGGTCTGCTTGTCACGCACTTTTCTATAGATTGTACAGATTTAATGTAATTTAAATAATACAAACTTTATTGTTCATCTGTCGTGTTTTCACTTATAAATTTGTTATTAAGATTGTTTTGTACGACAAGTTTCACATGATTCTTTGTACGGCGGAGACTTTGTTCATCAGTAGCCAGTGTCAATGCGTTATTTTATCGCTATACGAATCACTTAAAAACTACGATAGATCTATTATGGGAAATCGGTATAAAAAATGTTCAGTATTTGTAAATATAAGTGGAATGGAAATATCATTGATCTTTACCCAACGTCATTTTATTGATAGACATGTTTTACATCGGATTGACCTCGTACTTTAAAAACTAGACTTGAGTATCGGTATAAACCATTATATAAAATATCCAATTGCACCTGTAATAATTGTTATTTATAATAGAAAAGCTTCACCAAATACTGTGTGATCACAACAATGGAAATGAAGATTGTTGTGTGGCAGATGTGGTTGATTTTCATATACTTAACGAGAAGACGGTGATTACTACTAATAGCGATTATTATATACGTGTGTATGATATTGAAACAGGTAAATATACAAACGTATCATTCAAACAATCACAATAATACTGAGGACGGCAAGTATAATTAACAGTAAAGGTCTGTGATTATATAAATACCATGTAAACAAGCGTCTGTGATTATATAAATACCACGGAAACAGTTCTTTCTATCTGTTTAAATTAGATTGATCCCATGTGTTACTGCGATTAGTGAAAAAGCAAGTTTTAGGGCGTTACTGCGATTAGTGAAAGAGCAAGTTTTAGGGCGTTACTGCGATTAGTGAAAGAGCAAGTTCTATACGATTCAATTTCGGGAAAATCTTTCTTTTGCATTTTTGGCCTTGAAAAGGAACGCAAAATGGATTTGTGTTTAATCCGTATAATAGCATATAGCTTGAGTTCAAAACAAGCATATATGTTTAACTCGACATGATCAATAGTTATATCATACATTTTAGCCTGACAATGGGTCAGAATTCCCAATATTAAAGGCTAATGGAATATGAAAAGCACTGAACGTGTACAAAATGTAGGGCACATCCGCTTGGCATGCAGCAGGTGAACACACGTTTTGCAGACAGTGATTCGTGACATTTTAAAATTTTTGTTTTCAGGTAATGTGCTACGTCGACTTACTACGGGACATTTTAGTCGTTTCGTAATAGTATTAAATAAAGATAGCCCATTTTTTCTATCTTATGCCAAACACCGTGAAGAAAATTCTATCAGACTGTGGGACAAAGAAACGTTTGGATGTCTAGCGTCGTATTGTATGGATACCCAGGTTAGTTTATGACGAAACACTAAAACTGTGTAGTCAATCTATGTATTGCTTTATCTACAAAATAGATACAATGTGCTACAATTGAAAACCAACCTCCAACTAGTACTCTGTGCATTATGTGGATGAGAGAAAGAGAGAGAGAGAGAGAGAGAGAGAGAGAGAGAGAGAGACATGTGGTACAATTGAAAACCAACCTCCAACTAGAACTTTGCACATTATGTGAACCAGTAGACGTGGTACAAGGGTTAATCAGCGAACTAGATGTATGAGATGTGTTGTTGACGTTTGGGAAAGTAGGACGAGGGGAAATGTGTAGGGAGTGAAGTGCTGTAAAGGGATAGTTAGATGTATTATGAATGGTTAGAGTGACTGTGGTGTTACGGTGAAATACTATGCCGCCACCGTAACACCACAGCTTTATGATTTGTTAGACAGGAGTGATGTAATGGGTGTCAACAACTGGGTATGCTGGTACCGTCGCAACGTAGCCGTGAAATATATATTGTGGAGGGGGGGGAAAGGCGGAAACGGAAAAATATACAATGTTGACAGTATGTGCCAGGCATGAGGCTGCGCAGACCGAGCGGCAGCTCGATAGGGAGTGTGTGGGAGGGTCACCCTCATAAAAAAATTTTTATTTAAATTTCAGTTTTCTGTAAGCAGTGAAAACACTATTTTGGCATTGTTTGCGGGGTTAAACCTAAAAATCACATTAATACACCTATTGCACGATATTGTGAAACTAGCTGCCGAAGACAGCTCGGGCGGCGATTGTTCGACTCGGGGCTGCTCTGTCAGTATCTAACAAACGCATTTAGTTGGCGTACAACTTTTAAAAACCGAATGTCAGTATGGTATTTCTCACATAATTGGTTATCGCAAAAACAGAGTAAACTGAAAGCGAGTAATCTCGACTCAAACCTATAGTCTATAGCCTACTTACTACACTCGTCACTATAAGGCTTCCTATATTATTGTTTGTGGACGGTTTACTACTCAGTGATAAGCCTGCGCCGCAAAAAGAGGTCTCGCCTTTTATTATTAGTATAATGACTTCCTCATGTGCGGCAGGTTAGTTTGCTTCTAAAAACACTGTTTTCCGTTCCAAAAAATACAAAAGTAATTTTCTACCAGATGACCATGGTTCTTTTCACCGAGACTAGATAATTTCTCTCGGTGTAAGGATATGGCTATGGATAAGTTCAGACAAGGTCAATAAATCCGCGGTCACTTCGGGTCACACTGTTGAGAAAATAAACCGATGGGTTTGTTTAGTAGCAAATCGAGCGTGAATAAACTGAGTTTGTACTGAAAAATTTTTGAGTGATATGTATGAACTGTCTTCACACATTCGGTTTATAATTAGCGATACACAGTTACAGTGGCAAGTGTTGTACTTCACAGACTGTTTACCTCCGAACTACCTCCGCACGAAATCCCCGATTTGGGTACTTGTTAAAAGAAAAAGAAATAGTACCTGTGCGCATGCCAGTAAAAAAAACCTAAGAGTTCGCGCATAAAAATGCCCGAACGTACCAGGCACCAGGTCATCTAGCTATAATCTCCCAATTGACTTTGGTAGGTGTAAATGTTTCCATGTATCTGGGTTCTCTGTAAAAGAGATGGAGGTTCGGTGATTTCTGAACTAACACTCTGTGTGTATTTTCTTAATACTTCGCTGTGTGGGTAGATGAGTTTATACGTCGGTGGAAACAGTAGTACCCAGAGAAAACCCACGAGGTGTGGCACGTAACCAAATGTATACGCCGTGAGATCAAATAACTGATTTACAGATATATCAGCATTAAAAACCCATCGGTTATAAGAGTCATTTTATAATAACCCGTATATTATTTATCAACAGATGAAGTCAGTAGAATTTACATCAGATGGATATCATATAATAGTTACATATGACGATGACGGCCATGTCAAGTTTGATTTAAAAGGAGGTGACAGTATCTCCAAATATCAACCACCAAAACAACTTGAACAATGTAAAGAACTATTTAAACCTACTGGTAAGTCAGATCTATAGGCTGTGTTAAATTACGACTAGTTAACAAACGGTATACCATTGATAGAGAATGTCTGACCAGTCTCTAACTTTAATAGATCAACATTTGAACAAAACGGATATAAAATAATCCTGTATACGATAACGTGGTTATAAACCTGTAATTGTGTATAAGACAAAGTGGTTATAAACCTGTAATTGTGTATAAGACAAAGTGGTTATAAGCCTGTAATTGTGTATAAGATAACGTGGTTATAAACCTGTAATTATGTATAAGATACAGTGGTTATAAACCTGTAATTGTGTATAAGGTACAGTGGTTATAAACCTGTAATTGCGTATAAGATATAGCGGTTATAAACCTGTAATTATGTATAAGAATATAGTGGTTATAAACCTGTAATTGTGTATAAGATACAGTGGTTATAAACCTGTAATTGTGTATAAGGTACAGTGGTTATAAACCTGTAATTGTGTATAAGGTACAGTGGTTATAAACCTGTAATTGCTTAGCACGCACCAAAGTTAGACCATGGACCGTGTATAGATGGACAGGCAACGAGTCCCGTTTGTTGGATTCTCTGCCGCTCGCGCGAGACAGGGCGAGATCTCAATGTCAACAGGAAATCAAGCGATGGGATTTTTGACATTGTGGGATTTTATACTGATAAATTTCTCGAACTCCTCCTTAGAATTTACGGTATTCTTATAGTTACATGGCAATTGCTTAACTCGATAAGTATTCCTATCCGGTAGTGACGAATTTCTCCAGTTTAGAAAATTGGAAATTTCGAAATGCAGCAGTTGAAAATTGTGAAATTATCGATTTCAATATTTTCGTAGGTTTTGTAAGCATTTTGGTTTTGCTTAATACTCCAAATTCCCGTATGTATGAAGGATTTTAAAGTTATGAAAATAAAGTTCAGGTATAATACTGTCCGGAATGATGATTAATTGTGCAGAAGTAAAAATTAAAAGAGTGTTTTAGTAGATTTGTTTTTAAGAGAAAATCGACGTTTTTTTTCGGATTCACATAGGCGCGTCCGAAGTAAACAAAGACGATATTTACACCCCAATCATCAGTTAGTAGTCTATCTATGTATGGGTTTCAAAAAAAAGAGTAGCAAGATTAATGAAAATATTATGAGTGGATTTCTGTTAAACTTAATACAGGTATTTGCGCGAGGGGAGCTAATTTAATTTAGTCACGATTGTCAGGTCTCTCTTTTGCCGCGGAATAGAATTCTAAAGGCTTCGTGGGCGTTGCCTGTCCATCTATACACGCTCCATGGTTAGACAAAACACATGTTAGCGTAGCGTCTTAAGTAGTTTTATGTAATCGCGAAGAAATTCGTCATTACGTTTATAATAAAATGTTAGCTATTAAATTAAACAGACGATTACAAGCTAGGAGTATTGTACATGTGTTTATAAAACTGCCAGGGGTATTGTACATATATTTATCAAACTGCCAGGAGTAGTGGGTAATACGTAGCATTTCCTTTGTTGTTGATATGCAATTGGTGTCCTATTATTCGCAACTATATACCTCTACGAGAACCGTATAGACATGCTTATCCAGATACTAGAAACGCGGATTAACGCCCACTCAACATAAACTAGGTCATGTCGGGACAAAAGTACGGTTCAGTTTTAAACTAGCTAACGCACGAGGGTATTTAATTGGTGGGGAGCTGGAGGACACATTAAAACCCACGAGGTTGGACAAGCAACCAACTGTGGGATAGAAACCACGCCACCTGACTCAATGACATAAGACGATTCAGCACCCAACCCCAGGTTTATTGATGTGTGGGTTTAATATGGTAGTATATCATATCCGTATAGAAATGATCCCAATATAAAATATATTTTACTTTTATATCGTTTTTCTTCAGATAAAATTGTGGAGTTGGAAATACCTAGTAATGTAATCTATGATAATCCCGACCCAGATACTGATGAGTAAGGAGTAGCAGATACGACGATGATGATACTGGTGATAGTTATCCGATGATTCAAGTTGAACTGACACTGATGAACATTGAAAAGGAAAAGTAGTTTTATGACTGACCAGATATAAAATGGATGTAACTGATAAAATCTATTTTCATCTCTTAAATGATTAAACTGTGAAAATTTGTGCTCTTAAAATAATTTACCTACAGAAATTGATGCGGCTCAAATCGGATGTTGACAGGAGCTTGATAAGTATTTCAGCCAAACATAATACAAGTACTTTCCAAATATTTGATTCTATTACATTTATTTTAGTAATGCAGGAACTTGGTCAATTTTAGGTTGGTTATTTCAAAAACGGATTTGTACAGGCGGAATCAAAATAATTGTTTTAAGTTTGAAATAAACAAATAAGGAAAAGTATATCAGGTGAACCAGAAGTTACCCTTCTTTAGATTCCAACTGTCAAGCTAGTTTTACGTACTATCAATTGTGTGACGGGACCTCATCAGTTTTCAATCTAATCCGATTGACGAGACATACACTCCCTGTTAGATACAAACAGAAAGCATGTCAAGTGCAAACTGGGCTTAAACACTGTGGACGTCCGTATTACTCCACACCAGAAATGGATTATTCTATGCAGTATGTTAAACCCCACTGACGCTCCCAGTTGATTAAACCATTAAGTTAGTTTCCAACTGACTAATCTCCGGAAAAAAATTGAATTCTACATGATAGAGTTGAAAGTTAGACAGGGATGACCGAGGAAGAGCCTGCGATTATGGAAGCCGCTAAAGAACTTTATGCTTTATGGGATTCCGTTTCAGTTTGGGGAGCTTTTTCGTCTTGAATATTAAAATTGTATTACTTACTTCTGTTTACCTCTGATCTTTTAGAATTTTATACATCTGGTCGAACATTACGTAAACCAGTTGAACTACTTTTAGAATTTTATACATCTGGTCGAACATTACGTAAACCAGTTGAACTACTTTTAGAATTTTATACATCTGGTCGAACATTACGTAAACCAGTTTAACTACTTTTAAAGCCCAAAACTGTTGAACTAAATCTCTTATGGTCATCGCTCTTTGATATTGATTTCACACGTCTATTATGGTGTTTTTTTTCACAGGTTTATTTTTCAGGTTTCTCCCGTAGACGTTATGCTAACAACAAGAGCATGGCGGTGACACGATGCGCGTAGCCGGGACTTGACTGGGGCGTGCTGGTTGTATTTCAATAATTCGCTTGCGCTTAGGTGTCTTTAGCAGTGGGAGGAAACCGGAGGACCCGGAGAAAACCCACGAGGTTGGAGAGGCAACCATACTCCTTGTCACGTACATCCGTGGAATCGAAACCCCGCCAGTTGACTCAATGACGGGCAGTATGATAAGCGCGCACGTGCTAACCATTCGCGTCCCCCTTAATCCAAGGACAAATATGCTAGAAACTGATTATTTAACTTGTATAGAAAAATGTAAATCAACGGTAAGGAGTGGTAGAAGTCAACTGGTCAGCAGCATATTCAGAGATTTTCAAAATTGGGCTAAAACAGACAAATATATGTTAATGTTCAGTGTATGTTCCTCCCACAAACAATTTTTCAGTGTTGCCTCCCCTGTTTGAAGAGCATGTTCATTATAGTACAGAACTCCAACCATTTCTCCACACAATACATATACATTTTCAAATAATACAAAACATTCATAAAAAGAAAGATAAAACATAACCTTTACCAACTCTCCACATCCCCATAAAATATATCTGTGCTGATAAAATTAATGAAACCAACATATGAACTAATGCATATAATATCCAGAAAATACTGTTAGTATAAGCCTGTAAGGGAAAAAATTCATAGAGTAAAAGATGATATAATATTACAGATGGTTACCATAAAATTTGAAATATAGTATTCAGGAAATTAATAAGAAACATACAATGATGATGATGACGATGATGATGATTACTAATAATGTAATAATCAATCACAATAGCGTGTTGATTACTAATGATATGATGAAGAAACATAAAGTCGATAATATTGGAAATCAACATCGAAGATTTTTGACTAAGAGTAATCAGTATCAATATTATGATGATACATGGTTAAGTCATCTGATGCATTAAATACGTTATTTACAGATTATAGATCTGGAAATACAAAATTAGTGTCATCTACATGGTGAAATAATATTGTAGCGATACTACTGTACAAGGTTTAAATAGCTTTCAGTAGGCTTAATATAACTAAATAATACAACTTAAAGGGCTAATCCCGATAATTTTTGGGGTGAATAAACCTGTTTAGTTTTGTGTTAAAATCATTTAAAATCCCCTACCTAAGTGCTGAGCAACAACCTCAATATTTGTAATAAGTTTTCAAACAACTTAAACCTGTCAGTCTTCATCTGGAAATGGAGACCGGTGTCCCAAGCTGTATTATGCGGTGTCTGGATAAAACCAGACTTTTATTTTGCAAAACAAATGTGTAGGTGAAATTTACCTTTTCGTTATCAAGAACAGCACATCGGTCATTCACTGTATAGATCTCTCATGGAACGGGAATCGATTATCAGACCAACCAACGAAAAAATTAACCCGAAATCTTAAAAGGGTTACGTGTCCGGATAAGCAGTTTTGACGTTAATGTCCAAACGACTCAATATTTTTAGCTGGAATTTTGAGACAAGGTAAATACACCATTCCTCTATTGGCACTTAAATTTCATACGTACTCTGACTTTTATTTTTGAGACTCTGTTCAAATCGGGATAGTCCCTTTAAACTAAACACTTGTCTAAATAATTCATGGTTTGTACATATCGAGGGTTTAGAACATAATTGTGATAAGTCACAATGCTTGATATATTGACTTATCACAATTATGTTCTAAACCCTCGATATACACAATACAACTCAAACTGCACACTTGCTTATTTTATTTATTTAATTTAAGGAAGAGCGATATCTATTGCACTATAAATTTTATTATACAATAACTAAATATATATAACACAAAAAATAAAGCTGTTTCCAAAATCACATGATATAAAAATATTAAATAAATAGGGGTATAATAACCTGTCACACGCTTTTTGTCGGGTGTAAGTCAGATGATGAGGGATCACTCTAATGTAATCCACTCGGGCATTAATTCGGGTCTAAAGTACAACTTCTCTCCCAATCTGGTAGCTTAAACACGGATTCTGTTAATACTCTCTCTGAAGTGATAATGGATCTCATTCTATACATTTGAATATACTAGTACTAAACCTGATCAAATCACAAAAGGAGACAGGACTTCCTCGCCCCCGACCCACGTGGATAGAAAATCCACTAAAGTATCTGTGTCCCTCTTGTCATTGATAAGAACAATTCCATCTAGAAATACACAAATCGTTACGCCCCTATCCGTATTTAAATTTGTCATCACACAATATTTGGTGAAGCTTTTCTATTCATAAATAACAAGTATTACATGTGCAGTTGGATATTTTATATAATGGTTTATACTGATACTAAAGTTTATAGTTTTTAAAGTACTAGGTGTCATTGGACTAAAATATGGAAACTCTAATGGATTAACCCCTGGTAATATATACCCAGTTTGATTGTTTAACCCGTAGAACGGAAATCTAAAATATCAACGCTAGATTATATCCCCACATAGAATCAATCAGATTTAAAACATGTCTATAATTACATTGACGTTGGGTAAAGATCAATGTAGTATACGGGGGATTCCTATATCGATTAAATAACGTATCGATACTTTAACTGGTTACTGATTAGTAAAGTCTCTGTCGTACGTTACTGTATATACAATACACACTACGATACTGTACATACAATACACACTACGATATACGTTACAATATACACAATACACACTACGATATACGTTACTGTATATACAATACATACTACGATATACGTTACTTTATATAAATAAAAAGCCAAATATTCATGTACTCGATGACTTCTGGTGATAACCGTACCCCTTTACAAAAGGAATGGTTGATAATTTTCATCTTTACTCTTTGACTGTCAATAAATGTGAATCATCTTTCAAGCTGTGATGAGCAGATTATCGGATTACCATAAACTGTTAGCAATGTTAAAATCTGTTTCCTTCTTTTCAGATTATATTTAGAAAATCAATTGAAACGATTCCTAGACGACGTATTCTGTATTTGGAATGAACAAAGTGGCAACATTGCAGATCTGCGGCAAATAATGCATGATTTAGTTCCAAATATCAAATTCACAATTGAAACGAACGATCTGCACATCGCATTCTTGGACGTTCTAGTGAAACGTAGGGACAAAGTCCTTATAACGGATATGTAATATAAGTTGGGGTAAATAGGGCTTTGGCAATTGATACCAAGTAAAAGATAGTTTTGATAATATTATTACCTTTGCCGCTACTCATAACCCCCAAACGTCGAAACTTCTTTAAAACAATGAACGAGGGTAGGACAGTCCTGGCATCAAACGAAAACCTCAGAACAAAATGAGAAAATGTTCAATACATTAAATCGCAAAGCCAACCACCTAATCTGAAACGCCTTCTAACCAAAGCAAATTTCATTTCATCTATCAGAAGGGAAGGTTTTCGTTTATCTAAATCCCACGATCGTCGATGTAAATGTATAATGTCAAACAACACATGTGATTTTTATAACTGTATTTTTAACATAAACGATAATATGAACTGTAACACAAAAAAAACTCATATTTGTCTCGAGTCCTTTACCCAATTTGTATTGAGGGATCAGTTTTGTTAATACTCTTGTCAGGTCTACAGGAGTCCCTATCTTACTTTGTTTCCCAATAAAGTTCACTGTCATTGTTGTTGAGTAGTTGAAGATTGCTATCTTTTATGTACTCGTATAGTTCGTTCCCTTCTGCGTCGGTTGTAGGTGAACCCCTTGATGTATGGTGACAGCTGAAGTCCCCACAAACGATCACGTTTTCTGCTGGAATTGGTTTAATTATCCTGTTTTTGTATCAGGTGGATTATGAATATTAGAGACTTTTGGCAAGCGTTATTTCCTGGTCCGTATCGCGTATCCGTATGGATTTTGCGTGTGACGTCATCAATGTCTGTGTATTTCTCATACGTGATACGGCACACGGATACGGCACCACGTATGGAACGGCTTTCATACGGAAATGGTCCGTATAACACTGTTGTCTTTTTACCGTCTTTTTTGCTTTATTTAGACGCTGAAATGTTGCATCATAGCGTTTTTATGAATCTATGCGTATCCTAGAACACGAAGGTGTATATTTCATTTGATTTTAACAGTGATAACGACTGGAATTTAATCATTATTTTTGATGGGTTTTTCTCGGAATTTTCATATTTTTCCCGCCTGTCTGCATCTGGTTGATCTACGGGCTAAACTTTCTGAAATGATACATTAGTGAAACCAAAAATTGCTAAAATCTGCCAAAACGCTAAAACTACATTGACGCAACGTATCACGTATACGATACGGATACGGGATACGGATGGGAAAAATCCGCTTGCCAAAAGTCTCTATTAACTCTAGCTAGAGACTCATTATTGCTGATGGCGATGTTGATTAGCATTTATACATTTGTTTGGTAAGAACTCTATTTGAATATCTATTTTAAGCGGAGCTATTAACGATGCAACTGAAGGTTTTAAAATATACGTGCTGGGTTTGGATGGCTAGTCATTTAGAGGCACTAATCGCGACGTAATGGACACAAATTGGTCTACCATGTATTATGTTTCCATTAATGGTATGACAAATTTGTTTGGTATACATTGAAAGTAGAGACACCCAATCTTGCAAGA